TCCAAGGTAACATGGCAAGACCACTCTCCACGAGAACACAAGTCCGTTGTCTGCATTCTCAGAATTGAGAAACAGCCATAGACTTGGACAGGCTGCACAGGTATATTAACGGCCGCCCGAGTATATTTAGTGACACTTTTTTTACTATTATTATCATCCTTTTACAGTATTTTGTATTTCCCTAATATAACCAAACATTCATGATTGATTAAGTAGTGGACAATCCCTTCTCCTTTGTCCGTTTAGTTTCTGTGTGCACGAGACCTGTCAACACTCCCACAGGCAGTCTCACATGCTCTGCAGACACACAGAGACTTGCCTTTTTGGCACTTAAAAAAAATCATCTGGCCGGGGTTTTTAAGGGCACACTCGCACTATGCTATCCGAACCGTGCCCAGGCGCGTTACTGGTTTGTTTGAGAAGTGTGAGTGCTCTAAATCGGGCTCAAGCGCTGTTCAGTTGGCTGGCCCTGGCCTTGTTGGAAGAGCTGCGCCAGAGAGCTGTTCACTTGGGCTTTGGCGTGGTACGCTTGTTGTATGACTGCAAAGCATGCCTGAGCCCGAAACTGAAGATGAGACGTAACTTTTACGGTACTGCTTTATATGGATTTTATTAATCATTCTTACCGTTTATTGAATGCAAGTAGTTTATTAAAGATGCAAACACCTCACTGCACAACAGCTGCACCTTCAGCAAACCTCCTAATGACTTTAATGACCAATTATGAGTGTCAAATGTGGCTGATCTGTTCAGCAAAATATTTGACTGTGTGTAACTGCATCCTGAATGACTAAAATTATATAACTAAAGAAATGTCCACTGTGCTGAGCGAGAGCGCTTCTCTTCAGTTACACTAAATAGTGCATCATCGATGAGTCACGCATGCTCCGGCTCGGATGCAATGTGAGTGCAGGTCGTTGAGGGAGAGGGGAGTTGGGGCAATCGTGCTTTGGCACGGTTCAAGGCAACTGTTCATAGAACAATTACGCCCTAAATCTTCTAAGATTTTTCAGTTTCGGCTTTTTCTTTCTAAAGCTGAGATTAATCACATGCATTTTTGCATTACCTTTTATACTTATTTTACATATTTAAATGATCAACACCTATTAATCTTGTACTTTAAGTTTAATTTATAGAGATATTGTCTTTCATTTATTTGTCATTTGCTGTATATTTTATTAATTTCATGATGCCATCAAGCTATAAAAGCTATTTTACATACAGTTGATGTCAGAATTATTAGCATCCTTTTTCAATTTTTAATTTTTTTTTATTTATTATTTTTTCCCAAATGATGTTTAACAGAGCAAGGAAATTTTCACAGTATGTCTAATAATATTTTTTGTTCTGGATTTTTTACATGTTTAAAACGATTTTAAGGTCAAAATTATTAGCCCTTTAAGCTATATTTTTTTCAATAGTCTACAGAAAAAAAACATCATTATGCAATAACTTGCCTAATTAGTAATTACCCTAACCTGCCTAGTTAACCTATTTAACCTAGTTAAGCATTTAAATGTTACTTTAAGCTGTTTAGAAGCTTGAAAAATATCTAGTCAAATATTATTTACTGTCATCATGGCAAAGATAAAATAAATCCGTTATTAGAGATGAGTTATTAAAACTATTATGTTAGAAATGTGTTGAAAAAAATCTTCTCTCCATTAAACAGAAATGGGAGAAAAAAATGAACGGGGGCTAATAATTCTGACTTCAACTGTACATATCTAAAATGCTTTGGTTTTCAAGTTTGCTTTGAACTTGAAACGGATAGAAGCAGATTTTACCTGTCAGAGGGTGCACGTGGCCCCTGAATAGCACAAAAGTAAGAGAAAAAGATGATTTTTTAAAATTTCAACAGTCTTTTTTACTTTAACCTATTGAAAAGAAAACATTTTATAACAGTGTTAAAATAAATAGAATTATTGTTAAAAATTAAATTGTGTTTTGTTTTTTTGCATATAGTTAACTATTTATGATGTAGGTAAATTGTTTCAATACGGCTATCCCCGCACATATATTTCAAATCTGTGGGAAACACTGTATATACATGAAATACACGAACGTCACACTATTATGTTCATATAAACAACGTTAAAAAGATATCTTGTTTTTCAAAATATAAATATTAGGGGAATCTCACTTAATTTGGAAGATGGTTCCAATTTTTTTTTTAGCTTAGTGACTAAAAGAGATGTTGCAAGATTGCTTGGTTTATTGTATAAAATACAAAAAAGAAAATGCTGAAGAACTTCAAAAAGAAATGAATAACATATGAAGCTTTACCACAAAATCAGTGCAGCGCTTTGGTTATCAGTGCAAACATCCCACTGACTCTATTGGTGATAATAATTGCAAATCACACATATTGCCTACTGAGAGAAGGTGATGGATTTGGGTTCAAAGCAAGTAATCAAATCTCGTGTTACTTTTTGTGCTGCTTGCTGGAAGCAGACTGAGGAATGTAACTGCGCCTCCAAAGGCTGTATGTTGGCCTAGCAGCCTGGAAAACCTCAGCTGAACAATGTGAGTCCTGAGCCTGGGGTTCACTCAAGCACACAATGGACTCTTTGTCTGCATTCTTGCAGCTCGCTGGGATGCTTTGTACACTATGCCAACTCACTGGGGCCTGCGTGAGCATCCGGTGCAGAGCGCCCGGGCTACTGCTAAGCCATCTTCCCAACTTGAAGCAAAGCATTTGGGTGAGATGCTTGTGTGTCAGCACTCTTTGGTTTATATATGCAGGAGATACTAGCATGCGACTGTCCATACACTGCTGCAGTTAAGGCTAATGAATGATAGAGGGATTTGTTTAGCTTGAATGATCTGAAAACAAGAAATCAAACTTAAAGCAGACTTCAAAAACTGCATAAGATCAACCTAAGTATAAATGTCTATTTTTTCTAATACTGTGCAGCCCTAATATGAAATATTAAAGATTACAAGACTAGAATTTTAAACTCCAAGTACTCTGGCGGATGGTTTTAAAAATGTCTCGTCAATAAGAATTTTGAGTTACTTATTGTATGTTATGCAGTACAGTAAAGCAGTGGGTAGCACTGTCACCTCACAGCAAGAAGGTCACTGGTTTGAGCCCCAGCTGGATCAGTTGGCATTTCTGTGTGGAGTTTGCATGTTCTCCCCATGTTAGTGTGGGTTTTCTTTGGATGCTTCGGTTACCCTCACAAATCCTAAGACGTGCTATAGCTGAATTGGTTAAGCTGAATTGAGTTGACCCACCTCATCAAAAATTAGATATTACAAAACGCCAACATCAACATAGTGTGGCTTAATATGTACTTCGATATAAATGGCCCCGGGAGCAATTAAGTATTCTATATTGACATGAAAATTTAATGTGTATAGTCTCTTAATAATTTATGAAGTTACTGTTGTAATTATGAAAATGTTATCTTATTTATGTTGATCTTGCCATTAAAATAGCTATCAGTTTCGGATGTGGCAATAAATAAACAAATATCTGACTTTCATTTACATCTGTGCAGTTCTGAATTGGCTCCAGTGTTCATTGGCTTTGCTTGTAACATTTATCACCTGCTTAAATCCAACCTTGTGAAATATTTGTCTGTTCTTCTTTTTCTTTATGTCTTTGGTGGTCATGGGTCAGAACTTGTATCGCTGTGAAGCCACGATGTGCCTTATCGACCTGATAAAGTGCAGAACTATGGTTCCAACAAAGTTGAAATCAAGTGGTTAAGTTGTTGAGGCTTGCTCAATGTTATCATAATTAAGACTAAAGTATGGAGTGTTTCGATTTTTAAGAAACCTTTAACATGTTTGCTTTAGATGTTTTTTACATTGAAAAGGTCAATAGGACACAATAAAACACTACAAGTACTACAATAAAACACAGCCAAGTTAAGTCGCAGTCACTCTGAACTTTTCTCCCCATAGACTTCTATTCATATGCATGCAAACACAGCAGACTGGAAACGCAAGCTTTTTGGACAGAAATGTAAAATATGGAGCAATTGCTCACTTTTTTAATGTCCAATAATCTTGTTTAATCTTGCCCTTTTTCGCAGTGCCATACGACAGAATTTTGCATGCTCAAACCTCAGTGTCCACGACTTTAGATTGCAATTAGTTGTTTATGAAACCACTTTCATACTGAGCATGACTGAACGATGAGATTTTAGGAAGCAATGATGTGTTTTCTGGAAAATAAACGATATGTTTTTGTCATCGCTTTGCAGAGAAATCATTGATAGTAGCATTATAGATAGAGAAATTAATGCTTTTGATCAACATGTCCAACTGAGTCCCAAAATGCACTTGCTACCAGTCAGCAGTGAGGGGTGTAGTTCTAACGGAGATGTAAACAAATGGTTCAAGGTTTTGTTTGGGTTATGGTCGTGTTTGCGTGTTGATATTTTTTCTTTTGGTGTTTTTAAATATTAGCATTATTTGCCAAAATGTGCATATTGCACAGTAGACAAGAATTAAGCTAAATAATAAAAATGTAAGTTATGTAGAGGGGTATGTAAGGGGAAGATATAAAAAACCCAGATAAATAACAAAAAATACATTGGTATGGGAAGCTTCTCTTTGCATGCAAGCATTAATTCAGACAGGGATCAGTCATTTTTCCCCCTCAATTTATCTATCGCTTTGCACTCTGTAACAATGCCACAGAATTTGGTAAATGTTGGATAAATAAATCAAAAGTTGTGCTTAGCACCTTATCACACAACAAAAAATAGACTAATGCATGTGAATATTAAACCATATAAAGGCTATAAAAATATGAAGTTTGTGTCTCTCTCTTCATGACATTTTTCATTAATGACACACTTCTTCAAGCATAATGTAATGCTTGTTTCAACATCTATCATCCCTCTCTGAGGACACATGCACTTCATCTCCAGAGTTGCTTTGACATGTATTTTGGAGCATTTTACAACATTGTAATGACGTGTGCACACAAAAACTACTCCCATTCCTCCTGCAAGCCAATTGATGGTTTTCTCTCTCTCCAGAAAAAAGCCAAAGGTGCAGAGCTGTTTGAACAGATCATGTATCACCTGGATGTTGTCGAGAAGGATTACTTTGGCCTGCGCTTTATGGATTCAGCCCAAGTCCCGGTAAGAGCAAAATCATATCTAAAGGGTGGATGCAAGATGTTCTTTGATATGTCAGCTGATTGATGGACCTGTCATGTTCAGATATCTTTCCATGCTCACTATTTATTTACTCACCCTTGAGTTGTTCCAAACCTTTATAAGGTTCTTTTTCCTGTTTAACCTAAATGAGGCTATTTCGAAGAAATGGGTTAGCCCCTATTTGAATTTATTTTATTTAACAGGAACAATGCTCATTAATCAACATTAAAACTGTTAATAAGCTAGAGTTAGCTACAAGGGCTAATTTTCATCTCTTGCCCCCTGCCAGATTTTAAAAGGCAACCTAGAATAAAAAAACACATCATCACACATACAAAAACAGTAAAGTTACATATGACATAAGGATAAAAAACATGTAATAAGAATTTCTTAAAATGCTAGACAAAAGAATTACACACTATAAACATCTTGCAGCATTATTAAACGCAAACATTGCTGAGAGGCAGTGAAGTGACTGAGTCAAACACAACTCCCAAAATTCTTGCTTGTTTGCATGAAGAAATTTATACCAGGAGTGGTCTACTTTGTCAATCCTTTGTTGCATTATATAAACAATTTTCCATCATACACAGGTAAACATTTGTCAACTTTCGCACTTCAATTTAACCATTTTGATGCTTTCCTTTTCAGAATAAGCTATATATTAACTTTTGTTCTGCACCTCAGGATTCTAAACTTTCAGACCTGACACTTCTGTCAGAAGTGAAGAGCAGCAGGCACAGCTCAGGCTAATGCTGAGTCTTATGCAGAGAGTGGAAAGAGGGAGGGAAGAGTGTGTGAGGAATGTGTGGGAGAGATTGAGACGCTCTATTCTTCCGTCAGTATGAGTGCCTCCACCCTCCCGTCCTCCCTCACATTGTTTATGTATCACCCTGTTGGAGCAGCTCAGTTTAACAGACGGGACAGAATTTTTGGGTGTTCAGACCACAATATTTGAATCGCACTTTATCCACCAGCCAAAGTAGCCAGTGACTATTTTCATTTTTTTAAATCAGACATGTCGGTTAAAAAGGGTGAGATGGGGGAGCAGTGGGTAGCACGATCGACTCACAGCAAGTAGGGTGGTGGTTTGAGCCCTGGGAGGGTCAGTTGGCATAATGTGTGGAGTTTGCATGTTCTCCCCATGTTTCCATGGGTTTCCTCCAGGTGCTCCGGTTTTCCCCAGTCCAAAGACATGCGCTATAGGTGAATTAAATAAACTAAATTGGCCGTAGTGTGTGTATGAATGCAAGAGTGTATAGATGTTTCCCAGTATTGAGTTGCAGCTGAACTGGAATCCGCTACATAAAACATATGCTAGAAAAGCTGGCAGTTCATTCTGCTGTGGTGACCCTTATTAATAAAGAAACTAAGGCCCAATCACAGTTCTATTTTTGTACCCCTACTCCTTATCCTTGGCCCTTGAAACAGAGTGTTAAGGGGAAGGGCTTCAAAATTTACCCATAAGAATTGGGACAGCACTACAGCACCTTAACACATCATCATATGTCATCTTCATATGAGATCAGACGATCGCGACTGCTGTAGTTATTCCAGTTGCTTTATTTTTTGGTATTTCTTTTTAAGAAATCACTGATAACAATCTAATGTGGCAATAAGATCCTAACTGAACTTTGCATTTACGCAGTGGCCATATTCATCTATGTAAACACACAAAAACCAACAGCATTAACATTATAGCAGACACTGTGCAAATAATTTCCAGCCACTAGACTTTTCTGACAGGGTATTCGAGTGTCATCGAGTGTCAGAATGTTGTGGGACTGCTATACAGGAGTTATTATTAGGGATTAATAATAACGAAATTTAGCGTTTTTTAGCGGTTTTTGTTTTAGCTTTTTTTTAAAGCATGATGGTAAAACACAAACGCGGTTCTAACTGTATTAAAAGATGTGCTTGTTTGTTGTAAAAAATCATAATAATGACAAAAATACTAATTTGTAAATCTCATTACTTCCGAATGCAGCTATGCTGCCGTTGTGGCTGGTGTATTCTGGGAAATTTTCTTACCCCTTGTTTTCGACTGTGGTCCTGAAAAATCTCAATTCGGAGGGGTATCTACCCCTTCCCCTCAGCTCTACACCTTCAAACTAAAGAGAATTGCGACACCCTACTCCTTTACGTGAGGGGAAGGGCTAAGGGGTAGAATTGGGATTGTGCCTAAGTCGAAAATAAAATGAATGAACGAATGTTGGTAAAAAAAAAAGTAAATGAGTAAATCTTGAATAAACTCATTTAAGGCCTACCATGAGTGTGTGTATAAAAGCAATAAAAACTAAACTGCAAACTGAAGGTCTTCAATGTTATTAATACATTTATTGAATTTCTTTTTCATATTCTTACAGCACTGGCTTGATGTCACCAAAAGCATCAAAAAACAAGTAAAAAGTAAGTTACATGCTGTTTCTTTTCAACAAATAAATTGGTGTCTTGGGAAAAGCAGTTTTGGATAGGTTTAATTTATTTATCCATACAGAGTTACCCATTGTAATTTGTTCAGAATCTCTTCTCCAAACTTGACCTATTCTATCTAGGCAGGCAGTAGGGCTGTGCGATTTAATTGAAATCGAATTGCAATCTCGAATTGAAACATTGCGATTAGCTAATCGCTAGAGGCTGCAAAATCAAATATTTATGTATTATTTAATTTTTCTTGCCCAGAGCAAATGCATGACTGCTGTCTGCGTGAAAGTCTTACTAACCAATTGAGTGAGGAAACATTCGTTATGCCCAATCAGAATTACACAACCATACTATGCGGAACACCCACAATAAAAAACAAACAAACAGGAAAGCGCAGACGAGTGCGATGATGGGCATCTGCCTCTTCAGAAGCATTATCAGACCAATTAACAAAGAAAAACAGCTGTAACGACTGTAATATGGGAATATTTTGGTTTCAAAGTCACAGACACCAAACAAAACAGATCTTTTGTAAGAGAATTGTTACCAAATGTGGAAGTACAACAACAGCAGCTAAAAAAGTCAACTGATAGTATTGGCAATGGCATTTAATCTAATAAATGTTGTAGTAAGTTAATATCTTTTCAGTTTCTTTTTTTAACTAACAGTCAATACAGTAAAAAGCTGCGATTTACAGATTATTGGGCTGAATCTTGACTATAAAATTAAACCGCAGTATCTGTCAAAAAATAAATAAAAAGTCGCACCTAAAAGCTAAATAGCACAGCTCTAGTAGGCAGCAAAGGTTTAGAACGGGGCAACATTTTAACTAGTCTTTGTGACTACTTTCATAAGTACATGGTTAATGCTTAACTCTGTCTGTGAAAGGCGGGTAATAATAAACCATGAAGTGGAAAGTCTCTGTATCTCATCACTTGTATGGCATTCTGTCTAAAATTCCTATTTTATTATGCAGTGTTCTGTGTTAAAACATACCAAAGCAAACTTGACACTTGTGCAGTACAAACTCACACTTCTAGTAAGCAGTTTTGCTTTGAATATTTCATTTGGTATTGTCTGCCTTTCAGTTGGTCCACCGTATTGCCTCCATATGAGAGTAAAATTCTACTCCTCTGAGCCCAACAACTTGCATGAAGAGCTAACAAGGTTAATTCTCCGTTTATGCCATAAACACAACTAATATTCGCTTGATTATTTTTGCACTCATTTTATCTTTATTATTTGTTGTAGATACCTTTTTGTTCTACAGTTAAAGCAGGACATTCTCAGTGGCAAGTAAGTGAAGTTTAAGATTAGAGTTAAATTGTGTGGAAAGAATATTGACATTGTTGTCTTTTGCCATTTTAAATTTGAGAAATGAAATGTCCTTTCAAACTATTATGGTTTTTGATAGCTGATATACGTTTAGAAATTGTCAAAATCAGTGGTTCCCAAACTTGGTCCTGAAGGGCCAGTGTCCTGCATATTTTAGTTCCAACCCCAATTAAACACAAATGAAGCAGCTAATAAAGCTTATTCTGGGTATACTAGAAACTTCAAGGCTGGTGTGTTGAAGGAAATTGGAGCTAAACTATGCAGGACAACTGCCCTCCTGGACTGAGTGTGGATACCTCTGGTCTAAATAGACTTGATTTTGTTTACTCTAGGCTAGAATGCCCATTCGACACAACCGTGGAGTTGGCTTCCTATGCTCTACAAGGTAAGCAACAGTAATTACAGTGAATTAAACTGCTTTTCAAAAGTCTGAAGTAGTTAGTAATTGTGAAATATTGTGTTTACCAATATTATCTGTTATGTCGACCAATACTGCATTTAATCAAAAATACAAAGAAAAAAGTGCATAGAAAATACACAATATACACACTTCTTCAGTATCACATGATTTTTAAAAATATGATTATTTGGTGCTGTTTGCTTTTTAAGTACCCTTGCTCATAATCATTGGCATTGAGTTAACTTTGTGAAAAATACTTTTTAAAGGGTCTTTGTAGAATGCGCTGATCAGGATTTTTGCAGCTGATACAGAGTGCCGATTCCTTGTCATGGTGATCGGCCGATACGGAGTACAGATTCTAATGATTCAAGCTTTATAAAGCATTAGGCACATTTTCCCTCTAAGTTTGATACTTAAGTGGAGATCTTGCCTTACCTAAGGGAATTACTTAAGGATGTTACATAAAATCTCTTAGACACATTTCTTTTGATCATTTAGATATAAACATATCATGGCCAGAAGCAACTTTACAGAAAATAACATAACACAGATATAACATTTTTAAGAAGAATTACAATCGTTCTGCTCATGTCACAGCAGCTCAAAACACGGTAAATAAAATGGTTGCACTTGCAACAAAGAAACCATCACTCATGCAAGTTGTGCCTATAGAGATCACATCACATCTGTAAATATTTGAACTGTTGTGATGAGAGCAAATTGATCATTCACACTTTCACACATAATTTACCTCCTCATATGTTGTTGTTGCTGTAGGCTATGTATAATATACAGGAGCACACCTGTGTCTTCCTCTGCTTGTAAACTCCTAAACAAACACGTGCGATCGGTTGGCAGGTAAAGATCAAGTCATTAAATGTGATTATCGGCCGATACCGATCTTCGGATAATTGATCAGAGCATCCCTAAATCTTTGAACACATTTTGAACAATTATTTATAGCATAAATATCTACTCTTGCTAAACTCCATCAATTTATTTGAAGCTTTTAAAAGATTGTGTATATTACACTATTTACACATTCTTTTCATCTTTTAGAGTCATTAGACGAGAGGTCAGAGGAGAAAAGCTTGTCAATCCTTTTGAAAAATTTCTCTGTCTCAAAAGTAAATGACAGCTCATTAGTGTGGATCTGTAAAAGAAAGGCCTCCTAATCCTCTTCTTCCTACTGTGCTTTGCTCTGGTCTTCTACATGCACAGCACTCATTTTTTAAAATCGGTTTTGTTTTGGAAACCCGGTCATTAAATCTCAGGTTTAGAGGTTTGCTTCCGAGCGTGTTTTATCTGTGGAAGAGAAGGATTTGTTCTGGTTCTGTCTAATTAAGATCTCTTCATGATGTCATCGTAACTGCATTAGATCAACTTCATCTGAATTGGAACATATATCAGACTGCAAGCAGTGTAACAAACCTAGCAAAACATTCTAGTGTAAAGCACATCATGGTCAGACAATAATTTCCGATAACTATAATGATCACACAACAGAAAAGAAGAAAACAACAGAATGAAACTTGGTTGTTAATCTGTGGCACCTGCATCTTTCAGCTGAACTAGGCGATTATGACCCTGCCGAGCATGGACTTGACCTGGTGTCAGAATTCCGCTTTATCCCGAACCAGACAGAAGACATGGAAGTAGCCATTTACAACGCCTGGAAGGAGTGCAGGTATACTCTATAAAAACATACCTCCTATCCCTCATGATGACTTCTTTTAAGTCAGCTTTTAGAGAGGAAATCTAAATGTAAAGCAGGTGAATAAGAGTCAATGTGTAGGTCATCACCTCCAATCTCTCTTGTCTACTCAGCCAAAGCTCTACTGTTGACCCTGAAGACTCTGCATGTGATTTATGAGCCATCACTGTAACCTTGAAGAGCTGTAATCTACAGCAGATGTGCAGTAGCTTGGGTTATTTCATTTTCTTTCAGTTTTGTTTTACCATACTCGTTTGTTGGTGTTGCAGAGGCCAGACGCCAGCACAAGCGGAGATCAACTATCTCAATAAGGCCAAATGGCTGGAGATGTATGGAGTGGACATGCATATGGTCAAGGTACATATTTGAAGCATGCAGTGTATCATTCAAATCAGGATCTTGAGGAAGGGGCACTCTGAGGTATACCCAGAACTTATCTGTTTTTTATGTTGCTGCCTCCTCCTCCAGGCACGAGACGGAAATGAATACAGCCTAGGTCTGACCCCCACTGGAGTGCTTGTGTTTGAAGGGGAAACTAAAATTGGCCTGTTCTTCTGGTAAGGGCTCACTAACCTGAAATTTATTTATTTTTTGTATAGCTTTTTAAACAGGTGATGTAACCACACAGTTGACCTTTTATGCATAGGTCATCCTTAAAAGCAAAACATGTTGCTCAGAGTGGCATCAGGAACACAATTTTACACAATTTTAGTGTTTTTTTACACTACTAGCAGAAATTGTAATAAAAAAACGCAGAGATTTGCAAAAATCTTTATATGAAAAATGTGTTATTTCTAAACATTAAAAGTGCAGTAGGTGATCTGCCTAAATGCTAATCGGTTAGCATAATATCTTTCAAATGCAATCCCTCCGTCTAAAGCCATGCCTCCTGAAATCACGAACGCACACATTCACAATGACAGACCAAGGCTTGACATTAACACCCGCCAAATGCGGGTAGATTTCAGCGGTGGCAGGTAAGACAGACACTCCCAATAGCCACTTTGGCTGGTTGAAAAAAATTTTCCCGGATGATAATTGCTGAAAGCAGGGTTCGACAATAAGGATCGCCCAATTTGCATGCAAAGGCGATCTTAGAATTGAGATGCAACACGACTGACAAAAGTAATCGTGTTCGCGCAAGCAAAAGAAAGCAGGTTAATACCAAATGAGAGCATAATCACTCGTGCTAACAGCTGATGTGCTAAGCACAGCTGTTTAAAAGGCGTGCGCGCTCCTGTTTCCTTGCGTGAAGCAACCTAGCATAAAAACACAACTGATATAATTGGTTCTCTTTCAAGTAGACTAGACAAAAAAAGTGATGAACATGTGCCCACAGTCTTACTGCTTTAGATCTCCAGATTTGTCTTTTTGTAAGCAGCACCGGTTGCTTTCGCTTTAACCATTCTTTGAACAGATTATTAATGGGTCTAACGTTAACCGTGTATGTGATCATCCTTTTATTATCGCACACAGTTTTTCACCTGCTTTCTTTTGCGGTAATATGGTTTAATTATATATATTTTTTACAATAACTTTGCTTTAATGGGAGATTAACTCCCCATTTATGTGTAGTTAACTGGTGAGTTATCTGGATCTTTAGCCAGGACAGATTACCTGTGCATATGTTTTGTTAAATAAAAAGTATAGCATAAAGCTGTATTTGCTTGTTTTGACACATTTAAAATTTGTGGCTAAGAAATAATTAATTATTTATGTTTGGTGTGGTCAGAGATAAATTTGGTAAATCCTTAATTTTTAACACTGAAAAGTCATGTGAAAATTGTAATTCACATGACAATTGTAATACTATGAAGCATGACCCATTTGCTCATGATTATTGAGCAAGCTCATACCAGACACACAAAGTGAAATTAATGAGAAAGCATATGGACAGCGGACATAACACAAAATCTAAATCAAGTAATTTTAGCATCTTAAAGCCATATTTATGTGTATAAAGTATATTTTCCCAATGCCGTTAACAAACTTTATAGTAATATAGTATAGTATATTTATGTATATATATATATACACTACAATCTGAATGAAAAACTTATAATATCTAGTAGGGTTGTGACGGTGAGGAAATTTCCCCACCGGTTAATCGACACGTGACAACACCGGTTATACCGGTATCACCGTGGGAGTGGGCGTTTCTTCATTTCCTCTTTTTTTCTGCTTTTAAATAGCTTATAAATGCGTGCTTATAATACTTTCAGTTTTGCGGGAGTTGCCAATTCGGCGTCAATTGTTTGAATGGACGAAAAGGAAATTACAAAAAAAAATCCCTGTTATTAAACAAAACATAACTTTTATAAACATAACGAATAAAACACAACAATGCTACAGGCTGAAAAAACTGGAAGTTGGAACCACACAAATAACAACCATAAACGCCTATATATTAACAGCTTAGTCCTTATGAACAATCCGTTTATAAAATACATTATTAACGAATCTATAGGCTATTGAAGAATAAACCGAATATGAAATATGATCCTTGCATAATGATCACAACTAAACAAGCGAGCACTCATTTTATATATAAACTATATAAAAAAATGTTAAGAATTGGAACATTATGTAAAAAATCTAAAGACTACAGGCTAAATAAAAGCGCCTCGTCAGAGCTAAACATCACCGCACACATGTCAGTTTACATCTTCTGGAAAGATCAGACAACCTATACAGATCACACAATCTCAATATACAACATGTAAATGTATAAATATTTCGATAAGTATTGTTATGGAATATTTATAGCTATATGGTCTTGCTTTTTGGTTATATCGATACAGCTTTGATCTCTCTTACAAGCGGTTGTTACAGGCGCAGCATAAGGGCGTCTCACACTGTCAGTGGCGGAATACACACAGCACTGGCAAGACATTTTATTCTTATTTTATTTGTTGCAGATTTGCGCGTTGTTCCTTTTAAAAAATACCTTTTATTTTTTAAATCTCTCAAGTTAATGTTGTCTATTGAGTAACTATCGAGTCCCTCGGATTGGAGTTCAGTGCGCAGTAAGACTGACCAACCGCCCTGTAAATTTAAACACTACAGGTCCACAGCTCTGGTGTGGTATGAATTACATGTTTTAAATGACAGCGAGACATGCTACGTTTAGTTTTTATTGCAAAATATACATTATAACCCAGTACACAATAAAATAATATGTTTTGAATGGCTTGTCTATTGACGGCGTATATGGCCGTTAATTAAATAGGATGAGCATATTTTCATTAATATTAAAACACATTAATACAAATTAGCCACCCTTTGATTTTTTTTGTTTACGTATGTTTTTATCAAACGAAAAATGCAATGAATTGTTAATTTTAGTTTTCATTTTTTTAGAATTAATAGGCCTATAATTTATAGGCTACACAGCTCATATCTTTGGCTCCAATTGCGTTTTTACAGATATCCTACCAATAGACTTTTTTTTTTTGGCTCAAAGACATTTATGCCTATTAATTTCAATGGTGCATTTTGACAGATTTCGTAAAGGCTTCAGCTATTCTACCTGTCAGCTGCACCTGCCTAAGTTTTGCAACTTGACTTGTGTTGCGGCTCGATGTCTGAATGAGAGAGAGAGAGAGAGAGAGAGAGAGAGAGAGAGAGAGAGAAAAATCAGTCCTCAGATTCGATGTGTGGCCGCACGTCTCAGTTACTTTATTGCAATTTTTAATATTGGCTCATCTAAATAAACTTTTCATATATTAAAAGCCGAAATATTGCCAGACAGAAGAAGCAACTTTCGGTTTTTGAAGAGAGCGTCCTCAGTTATAAAAGATGCGCTCTTGTCGGCCTATTCATTTTGGATTTTTTGACATTAAACACATAATCAAGTAGAAAAAAGAACAGCTGAACTTCGGAAAAAAGTGCTCACGTTGCCACGATGTTTCTCTGCAGTTGGATTGTCAATGGCGCGGCATTGCTAAATCACTCGTTTTAATAATAAAACAGAAAGATATTTATTATTAAACATTGTGAAATGATGGTCGAGTGATTTTTTTTTTTTTTTAAAAATGAGAGTATGCGTTGCGTATTTATGGTCATTGATCTATCCGCGACCCACCTATAGTTAAACATGAAGGTGCGTGTATAAATAAGTTATGTTTTCAGATACTGCCACCTTTGTCAGGCAAAGTTTGCAGATTGCCTCATTAACGTCTTCAGGTTCTCTTTTGCATTTGGTTTGAACCCAAAATATTGCCAAACAGGCGCTTTTGCATTGCTTTTTGACAATAAATCGTCCTCCATCCTCTTTCTGTAAATTCGACTACTCTTTTCTCCTCATGTGGTAAATAAAATATGACGCACTGTAGCTATGTATAGATTTTAATTATAGAGCATGCTCTCGTTTTAAGTCAATTATTTATAATTATATTTGACATTTATTTCAAATAAATGTAAAAAAAAAAAAAAAACCAATAGGCTACTTAAAAAAAAAAACAAATGTGGGGACGGTGTCACGGTGGAAAAGTGATGTCACCAGTGTTGCGTCTTAACACCGGTATCTCCGTCAACACCGTCTATCGTGGCAAGCCTAATATCTAGCACATTTTCAGTTATGTACTTAACAAGCAAAACTTGTCATCACTCTCTCATCAGTCTTACTCTCTTACATGCTGTCCTAAAGCAACTACTGGATGGTAAGTGGTTAGCAGGTGGCATGCAGAAATAACGCTTGTTACTAAGCCATACTTGCATGCTATTTCAGACTGAATATTTAAAGTAACATGGTAAACATTGGGAGTGCATCACAGGTTGTCATTTTTTTAGAAGTAAAACGATGTGAAAATAAAAACTTCAACTCAATGAAGTAGGCTAGGCAGAATAGCGCTATTTGCTTATGTTTCGTTGTTAAAACAAATAAAAATCTACATTATTGAGGCTGTAAAAGGTCCCTTATGAAACTGAAAATAGTTTTTCGCCAGAAGATTTCAGTTGCTGAACAACACTTTAGTGCTTATAGCCCATTTGTAAAACAACACAATCTACATCAGCTTTGCGTGACTAAAATACTTTTAAAACATACCCGTCTAAAAGAAATAATTCAGCCATGGTTTCATTCCTACTTCAGCGTGCAAAAGTAACTCCAATGTACATTTCAAGATTTTAAAAAGTTTTGATTCAGAATTTGTTTTTAGAGATGTCACTTGTGACCGATGCCGGCGTGAAAGCACAACGCCGGATCTGCGTGAATGGGTGCACAGTTGTTTGAATCTACCTTTATTGACAGACTGTTTGGGCTATTTATCAGAATTATGGTAATTGTCGGCCCAACAATATTTAATTGGATGAACATTTTTGTTTTGTTTTTTGACTTACCCAGAATAAAAACATACATATAAATACATTTAGATCATTTACTTTAATCTATACTATTGGAATATGAAGAGACTTTCAACCAGCACAACAACAAAAAATGTTTCTGAAGACAATCACCGACTGCACCTTTAAAGCTGCAAATTGTAACTTATTTCTAAACTAATAAAAAAACTACATTTATTTAATGAGCAAGTAATGATGAATCCATCTTCAAACTATGTTTTTTTTCTCATCTTGGATCACTAATGACGAGTTTAGACTGCACAATTTTCAAAGTAGTCACCTCACAGATGTTTTCACACTGCATGAGTATCTGGGGTAGCGTTTTGTTGCTGCTTTGTTTACGCTGCAAGATGGATCGGCGACAGGGGATTTCATGATGCATGACATTAGAACGGGAAGAATCACTGACAACTTTTTCTCAGTCCTCAAACTATGCCTCTCACAACCAAACACATGCAAGAAGCGGCATGGAAACAATGCAAGATCAAGTAGTATATCTTTTGTTATTAACTACATAATGAGAAAGAAGCCTTTAGCAAGGTAGAAAATGCATTTATTTTGCTCAGCTGCCCTTTGAAGGGAATGAGCAATTCCTTCTTGACTGTTTTTCTTTTACAACCCGGTTTTGCAGATGTCACGTCAAACAGACACAGGTGCTTCTGTCAAATTTCCACTAGTTTTTCCTCCATTTCTTTGCTCCAAATAGACTGAAAAGAAGCCATTTTAACATCTCCCCTCAACCTCCCGCTGGCCTGCAGATACCCATACTAGTGGATGCTGCTCTCTCATTGGCTGTAGAAAATCACTGATGTTGTTTTTAATCAGATAACATTCACACGGCATGATTTGAATCGCTGACAGGTCCAGACATTCAGCATGCCAAATATCTCACGGGTGTCGGCGCCTCATCTGCGATTCTTTGATATTTCACACTAGCTATGTTTCCATCTAAAAATGCGAATAAACTTTATGCGCAAAACTGGGTTATTGCATAAAAGTTGTGCGAATGAAGCATCGTTTCCATCCAACAAGTCAAAGCGAACAAAATCGTCACTTCCTGATTAACTGTCGCCAAATATCAACAGTAAAAACTGCATTTGCTGCAGTAGGAGAAGCTGCATCAATCTTTTCTAAATGAACGCGCCTCAGAAGACAATCCTGACAAGCAGTGAGCGCGCAGTGGCATTGGAAGGTTTCAGACGCAGAGCACAGGCGCTCTTGATTTTGGAGGTCATTAATAATATAATAACATTAATACTGAAATAAGGCGTTTTATAATGACCAAAACAACATTTCAGATGTTTTATAATGTGCTCAGCCTGACGTTTTATCCATTCACACACATTTTAAGCATCACATGATCTCTTTTAACAAAATCACATGACCTTTTTGTAATGCGCATGGTGGATTTTGTGCGGTAAAAGTGTTTACATTGCAGTTTATGCGCATCTTTTCTTATCGAATAAAAAGTTTATCCTACCCAGTTAGACGCATAAGTTTTTTTTATGCGCATTCTCAAAATGTATGCGCATCATGGGGTTTCCATCAACTGTTTTTTTTTTTTTAAATAGGTGAATGGAAACATAGCTACTGTGTGATTGTTACTCACGTGAACGAACACTGATTTGCCTGTGATTTCAGGCAGTTGTTTGCGATTTCTCAAAACCTTTCGCAAGTCAAAATTAGGACTAAAATCATGCACTGAACTCTGCATAAGGCAAGATATTGTGGGCAAATCCCTGCTATTGAGTAGCCCAGTATATGCTTTACTTTTAGCAATCCTTGTTTTTGAGACATCTTAAAGTTTAACTTTAAATAAATATCTCTTATGCGGGATAAGTAAAAGAAAATTGTTGACAGAAAATGTATTTTAAATTTAGAGGCAAACATAGCAAAGTAAAGACATTTTAACACATTGTATTGTTGTATCTTAAAATGCTTTATTTATTTTAAGATTCCTGAGGCAGGACACGTTAACATTAAACCCAAAGTTTGGCAACATCTTCAATATTTGTCCTCCAGCTGCCACGTCATACCGCAGTAAATTTAATAACAATGGCCATTTTATCTAAAGCAAACTGTTTTGTCTGCACAGGCCCAAGATCACACGTCTGGACTTCAAGAAGTGCAAACTCACCCTGGTGGTAGTGGAAGATGACGAACAGGTAATGCAGGAGACAGAAGAGGTAAAGACAAAGCTCAAACACACATAAACATACAGCTTTACAAATCTTCATGGGTGATCAAAAATAATAGAAACACTCTCTTGTCTTGATTTAAACTTAATTTAAATCTCCTTTGAGCAAATTTGGGTGTTTGTAAACTAATGATTGCGTATTTTTAAGTATAACTAAGAAGTTAATAGTAGAAAACTACAGCTATGGTCTAAAGTGTATAAGGACATATTGATATTTACACTACTAAAACTGTGCTGCATGGGTTTCTGCAGTTTGAAAATCAGCCTGTGTCAGTCAATTCTGTTTATGTGTGAGAAATTGTGTGCGTGTGGATGTGTTCTTGTTAAGACTGTTGGCATCTTGCCAGCTTGAGTTAATAAATGACGCTCTGCCTTCAGGCATGCCTGGCATCTGAGGCACTTTACACTTTATAAAGTGCTAGAGCTGTGAATATAAGGACATATCCACCTATCACTCTTTTAAATTTGAACATATACTATGACTATGAAAATCATGACACATGATTGAGTCAGACAGTCAGCTAAAGGTGTTTTTATATTGGAGCTTGATGCACCGCATTAGGCTTATTGTTGAGTCTAGAAGTTTGTTGCAGTTGATCATGACAAGGTGTTTGTCAAAAAAAAGGGATCCCTTTAGGCTGTTATTAGTAGCACCCCAGGCTAGGGTTAGGAATCAAAAATTGATTCAGATTCTGGAATCGGATACTTGTGCAATTTTAATTTTGATACCTTATCCATTCTGTGGGCGCATTTTTATTTTTTTTCACTTGCAATCTGCCAGGAACTTCACAGTTCACAAATGAGGTTATGGTTCAGATTTACAACTGACAGAGCCTCAGATGGAATTTTACTTGCTCAAATTGCACAAATGGAAATTAAATTGAGCTACTCTAGGTATCTGTTTTCTCCGTCAGTCACAGACTATGTAATGGAGGCCAAGACAATTAATACAGTTGTATTGTATTGCAAAATGTAATCATCCAATTTACTATTACAACTACTACTCTTAAAGACGAATCTAAATGAATGCGTGCAGAAAATTGTGTGGAAAAGCTCTACACAAGCAATAATTCAGATAAAGAAAGCATGAAAGTTGGAAGGAAAAAAAGACAAATATGCTGTCTCAAAAGGAAGAATTTCATTGGATCTGAAGCTGAACATGTTTAGTGAACAGGATGTTCTCAATGTCTCGGAGCTGCTCAGTTTGCCGTAAACCTCTTATCTTTTCCAACCCCGGCAACACCCTGCTTCACAAAAACTTTATCTCTGCAGGTGTTGTGAGTTACTTTAAAAAATGTATTTGGAAAACGGCTTTTCAAAACTTTAGGAATTATAATAAAATTAAAAACCAAGTGATGTGATGTGAATTAAAAGGTATATGCTCAGCTTTTATGTATAAATGTTAGTATTATGATTTGTACTTGAAGGTATATGTAACAATTGTTATTAATTATTCAATTGCATCATTATCTTTATGTTGATATATTTTAACATTTTTGGACCATTTTTTTCTCACTGTAATCAATTCACTGTAATCACAGCAAACTGAAAAAAACTGCAGTTGTAATTTAAATATTTTGTTTATCTCAGAAAATCACAGCTACATGTAAATTAGTTACACATTTTCTGCAGATCGCAGCCATAATTGAGGGTGCTTTTCCACATTTAGACTGATTTGTTTTATTCCAAAACAGGGATTCAAATTGTTACAATGTTTAGTTTTGTTCTTGGTGCTGTTTGCTTACATGCGGCAACGTTTCAAATAGACCAAAACAGTTAAAATAAGTCACGTGTGAGTAAACTCTCCTCACATTGGTCAGAGTTTCAGGTTTTCTTTATTCTCCCACGTATTCCGCTCAGCTGTCATGCATCCTTATTTTAATTTTATGATGATGAGAAATAGGACACTATAGGCGAGACTGCAGTTACATCATGAAGCAGATCAATCTTTCTTCCGAGGTTTTAATGCACAAATGAATGAAAAAGTAGGCCTAATACAAAATATTGTAAGATTAAAATACAGAAAAAATATCAGATCGTAATTTCAGTCAATTATCCTTATAAATAAAGAGCTTTCATTAATAGTTCAGCATCCTTTCACTTTCGTATTCGATATGAAACATGAAAACACATTTACCGGTAGGAATGACATCCCGCTCTACTCACCATTCTCTCTTCATATAGCCGTATATATGGCTATTACATAACCATAATACACTGTAATATAGCCTGGTTTGTTAGTTTGTTGGATCATATTGCTTTTTCACTACAGTCGATCTGCTCCAAAGTTTGTATCAATCGAGCCAAGACCACCTTATTCAGGCATCTCGGATCGATTGATTTGGCGTGGATCCGATTGCTGAATTTCACATATGCCAAACTAACCGTGCCAACTGGGAAAATGAGACTGGTTGCGAATCAAATGTCTAGGTGTGAAAAGCACCCTGAACCTGTGTAATGTCTAGGTGGCTGGTTAGGTTTTAAAGTTTGAAAAAAGAGCAGTTAGTGTACCTTTTAAGGAGTAGTGCAAATAAGCTTCATTTAACTAATCTAGTCTTTTGATAAAGCTGTTCTAAATGTTCACCAAAAGGCTTTATATTTGTTTGTCATCTTCATTTCTCAATTTTTTCTTTGTGGTTGTTTTGTCACAGAAAAAGCATAAGTGAGTATTTCTTTGCCCTTATGTTTTGACCTCTGCCGTAGGGGAAAGAGCAGGAGCACACATTTGTCTTTCGCATGGACCATCCAAAGGCCTGCAAGCATCTGTGGAAGTGTGCTGTAGAGCACCATGCCTTCTTCCGCCTGCGTGGCCCCGTCCAGAAAAGCTCAGCCCGCTCTGGGTTCATCCGCATGGGCTCGCGTTTTAGATACAGGTGCGTTAAAGTTGATTTATCTAAAATATATTCAGTAACTTGGTTTTGTTGAAAACGACCATTGGTGTTACCTATTCTATAGTTTTGTGCAATTTTGCTGGATAAATAGAATTTGAAGGTTGAGTTTAAAGGCTTATGCATTATGCATTTAATATTTTTGTAGCTATTCTTTTTAAATCACACTTGCATTGGTGTAAATTTGAAAATGACATTGTGTTTATATAAAAAAAAAACTTTTACAAATATTTCATATTAGCTAGCTGCTCCTCACAGCAACAGTTGCAGCTGTAGTAAAGGGGAGGAGATTATTTAAAAATATGGCTGAAAAAAAGTTTTCACAGTGAAAAGGAGGAAGAGTTCTTTTTTACTTCATTTGGTGATGGCAAATTGTCACAATGTTGAAAGACATTTCAAAATGTTACCATGGTAACTACCGTCCGGGCAGTGCACTACAAGTAAAAAAGTCTGCAAGGTTTGTTAAAACAGCAGTCTTTTTTCAGAAGACCTGTGAATTCCCCCCCTAAAAACAACCAAAGCCTCATTTAGAACTAATTGAGCAAATGTGTTATTTGAGAAGTGTGTATCAAACCGGTAGCCCTCCACATTAATCAGTACCCAAAGAGTAGCTCTCAGTTTCAAAAAGGTTGGTGACTCCTGCATTAGAGCAATGTGTAATACCTCTGGTTCTCTTTTGGGATTTGGTATAAACTCATAATCATAACACGTGGTCTGTTATTCCTGTTTTTTTACTGCCAAATAGTGCTCTTACTTGGTAGGCATGATGAACGGCAGAAGGTTGTGATTTGTGTCATTCTAGCCTGAATACGAAAGCTGTGCAAGTCCTTAGGTGTATGTGATCTGATCATTTTTGATCGTGGACAATTAAAACGTCTCGACGATCTCAATATAGCTGTTTTACAACACCACATAAATTCACATCCAATATCAAGGCACTTATTCATCCACAGCAGTTACGGCACTCATTCATATTGATGTTAGTTTCATTTGTTTTAAAGCCTTGATCGTTAAACATTAATAGCAAATGCGTCCCCACATTTTGTTTGAGCGCACGCGCTTGCACCACTAAAAAGCCAAGATTAAACTTTATGTTGTTTGATCATGTCAAAGCTGTCAAAAACAAATTATTTACATATAAACACATTTGGTTACCATGTCTAAACTGAAAGAAAACTGTTATTAGAAAAACAGATGTGTGATCAGTGCAGGTTTTAAAAGGCCAGCAGACTAAGGGCCTACTCACACTATGCCATCCGTACCGTGCCCAGGCCCGTTTCCCGGATCGTTTGAGAAGTGTGAGTGCGCTGAATCGGGCTCAAGCACAGTTCACTTGGCCGGCCCTGGCCTGGTTGGAAGAGGTGTGCCTGAGTGCGGATCACTTGGGCTTTGGCGCGGTACGCTTGTGTGTGAGTGCAAAACGCGCCAAAGCCCGAAACTGAAAGCGATACGTGACTTTTAAGGGACTGTTTCATATGGATTTATTAATCATTCTTACTGTTCAGTGATCACAAACTGCCGTAGTTTATTAAAGACGCAAACTCCTCACAGCACGCCAGCTGCGCGCCTTTAGCAGACCTCCTCATTCCTGCAGCACGAGAGCTTTATGATTGTTTATGAGCACCAAAAGTGGCGGATCTGTCCGGTGAAATATCTGACTGCGTGTCACCGCATCCCTAAGGACTGTTTGGCGAAATATTTGACTACATGTCAATGCATGACAAACGACTGAAAGGATATAACTAGAGAAATCTTCACTGTGCTACTGGGTGAGAGCGTATGGCAAACCGTTTTAGCATTTAAACCTTGTTCTGACTATCCATAAATATATTTAGAGATATCTCTAATTATATTTTGACTAGTCATAATTATAATTCGACTAGTCAGAATGACAATTAGAGATATCTGCAATTACAATTGTACTAGTACATAATCAAATTGGAGATATCTGCAAATATATTATGACTAGTCATATTCCTCCATTGACTTCTATTGAAAAATATTTGCAGATATCTCTAACTGAGTTTTTACTCGTCAAAAATCCATTTCAAGATATCTACAACGGTAATTCGACTATTAGTAAATTAATTAGAGATATCTTCAAATATATTTATAAATATCTCTAAATATGACGAATTAAAGACATCTCTAAATGTATTATGACTAGTAAAAACTTAGAGATATCTCTAATTACAATTGTGACTAGTCAAAACTCATTTAGAGATATCTGCAAATATTTTTCAATGGAGGAATATGACTAGTCATAATATATTTGCAGATATCTCCAATCTGATTTCGTACTAGTACAATTGTAATTGCAGATATATCTAATTGTCATTCTGAGTAGTGGAATTATAATTATGACTAGTCAAAATATAATTAGAGATATCTCTAAATATATTTATGGTGTCAGAACAAAGATTTAAATGCTAAAAAGGCTTGCCATAGAGAGCGCTTCTGAACAGCGCAGCAGCGATGACATAAGCGCGCCGAGGCCCGATATGGTGTGAGCGCGGGCCGTCGGGGGAGACGGGAGGGGGGACAAGCGTGCTTTGGCCCGGTTCGAGGCAACTGTACCTAGTGTGAGTACGGCCTAAGGCCCAATCCAAATTCTATTTTTGTACCCCTACCCCTTCCCCTTGGTGTTTACAACTGAGGGTGAAGGGGAAGGGCTTAAAAAATACCCCTAAGAGTTGGGAAAGCACTACAGCACCTGCACACGTCATTATATGTCCTCGCGATCTCCTGCTTCATGTGAGATCTGACGATTGCGACTGCTGTAGTGATTCCAGTTGTGTTATTTTTTGGTATTTATCTTCAGGAAATCACTGAAGGCATATATTATGTTATCATAACGATCTAATGTGGCAATAAGATCGTAACTGTACTGTGTATTTACACAGTGGCCATATTCATTAATGTAAACACACCAAAAACATTAACAGGGTTGACAGGGTATTCGAGTGTCAGAATGTTGTGGGACTGCTGTACGGGAGTTACTATAAATAACGATTATATATCGCAAAATTTTGCTTTTTTTATATATTAAAACATGTATTTGTCTGTCGTAAAAATTCGTAATAATGACAAAAAATACAAGTTTGTGGATCTCCTTACTTCAGGGTTTAGAAATACTGCCGTTGTGGCAGGTGTATTCTGGGAAATTTTCTTACCCGTTGGTTTCAAGTGTGGTCCTGAAAAATCTTTGTTTGAAGGGCTATTCACCCCTTCCCCTTAGCCCTACACCTTAAAGCTAAAGAGAATAGGGACACCCCTACCCTTTGGCGTGAACGCGCAAAACGAGAGGTAGAAGTAAGGGGAACGGCTAAGGGGTAGAATTGGGATTGGGCCTAATAGACTCCACATGCTGCCACTTGCTTCACTCCATAATGTTTATTCTGTCAATATTTGCCCCCTCTGACGATGTCCCTAATCTGTATTAATTTGTTACTATCCATTTTGATGTTAATAAAACAATAAAACATTTGAAAAGATTCATGTTAAAATCGTGAATCGTGATTTTCTTGGAAAAAATCGTGATATGATATTTTTGCCATATCGGCCACCTCAGTGAGTTGTTTGCAATTTCAACTTTTGCGAAGTCAAGTTTCAAATGTAGACACACGGCAGGCACATGCAAATAGAGAAACGTTTGCCTGTCACGTTTTCCACACATTTAAGCACAAGGTGAACAGCCTAGTAAACAACAGTGGAGGACACACTGCAGATTCTGTTCCTGATTAGAATGTGGCTGTTTGTCAATAGAGGCTTTGTTTGAGCTTAGGTCGACCATGTTTCATTGCTGTGCACCATCATTATATTATTGTGGTGTTGTGTTTTGGATGTGCATTTAAAAATAGCACTCCTGTGTTGTCATTTCCTTGTCTCGTTGCATGCGAGGGTGAAGATTCTTTTTAAACCAATAGCGTTCAGCAGAGAGTATAGCTCCACCCTTTTGGTATTGTATTTTTATACTAAGGGTGTAAAGGGAGCCAAAAATGGCCTATTAAATTTGGTGTTCTTTGAGACAAGACTTCCTGATTTATTTATTTTTTTAGGCCCCTTAACAATAGCTGCTGTCAAGTTGTAAATTGTAGCATGTTTTACTCCAAGCACGGTGTGTGTTGGCTGTCTTTTCTTTGGAATTGCGTCTTATCTCCAGCTGCCAGCCCAAAGGCTTGACGATTTCCAGTTCAGCTCCCTACTGGTCAGGTTTTTTTTTTGTTTGCCTACACTTATTTTAGCACTTATCCTAGCTATCCAGAATAAGCCTATTTTTTGTTTACATCAATGAGTGTACTTTATCTTTGATTTCACCTGCATGTCTGATTGTCTCTTTGTTGTTGTGAGTTTGTTTGCCAATGCTGGTTTGTCCGCTTATCCTCTAATGAACAGTGGCATTATACTTTCTGATACTGTTTGACTTTCATTACTCTAAGCCTATAAAAGTAAATATCTGCAGTCTTTTCGAGTCAGCAGGGATTTATCATCAAGGTTTTAAAGGTAAATGTGTGTATCTGACATAGATGTTTTTTTCCCTTTATTTGTGTAAAGTGGGAAGACAGAATATCAGACAACAAAGGCAAACAAAGCTAGAAGGTCTGCCTCCTTTGAAAGAAGACCAAGCCGTCGTTACTCTAGAAGGACCATGCTGAACAGAGGTGAGGAACTGACCTGCTCAGAGTTAGGAATATACATTTATATTGGTCTTAGAACTTTAGTATCTGTCTGTTTGTCTATTTGACATTGGCAGCTCATGCCAGCCAGTTTAAGATTGAGCCTCAACTCTCTTAACTCTCTATCTGTTTATCTGTCTATCTGTCTGTTTATCTATCTGTCTAGCCGTCTGTTGTTTTATTTGTCTCTCATTCTGTTCTTTTGTCTGCATGTCCTTCTATCATAAATAGCCTATAAAGATACATTATATTATGCATTTTATTTAGCTTTGGATATATTTGATTTTAATTCATTTAACAATTTTTGTTGGATTTTTAATTTTTTTTTAATTTGCTTAATTTTAATTTGACAATGCATTTTTGTACAAGCAATTAATAGTTAATTAATAAATTTCTATAAATCAGACATCACTCTGTAGTCAGCCTTTGCTTTGAAGCACTTTTTAACACAGAGTTGACCACTGCTTACCCTTTTGAGTCCTATGTTTTCAGTTTTATGTGATCTTGTATAACATGCTCATTCTTCTGTTTATTTCCCTGCAGGTCCCAACAAATCCTCAGAGTAAGTATTTTACATTCCTGCATTGTGCAGTGAATTTCTTATGGTTCTTTTATAGTGATAAAGCGACTTCAAGTTTCAGCATCAGTCATGAAGTATATGTCATTTGAAAGCACAACGCTGTTCAGAGCTGCTCACAGTTTTATGAACTTAACTGCATTACTGTATTAGAGTATAGTGTTACTTTGCATGAGTTTAGTTATTGTTTATAAAGATGAAATGGTTTAATGGCCACATTATTGTATAAGCTCGTCATAAAATTGTCATTTTATCCCACTGTGTTTATATAATAATTATACAACCGCATATAAATAGGCACAAACCATTTCAAAGGGTAAAATGACAGGTAAATGTCTTTTGTAAAATGGCTTTAAAATGGTATTTTTGAATCAACAGTTTTCTGGAAGTGGACTTCCGAACAGGCAGTAATTTTCAACAAAATGTGTAAACTACTTTTCATCTCCTATTTGTAAGCATTGTTTGTAAAGGAGTTTCTTGAACTTGCTGACGCCTCCGATAGACATTGCGCAGTGTTGGAGACATTTATTTGTAATTTTTTTTTATCCCAAAATATTATTCAGGTAATGTGCATGAATTGAATAATACTGGTTGTGACAGGCCTACATTTGTATAGTTTAGAAATTTTATTTTTAATCTAAACCTTATAAAATAAATTTGTTTTACATAAATGCTGTCAAACCATAAATAGTGTTTTATTTAAACCATGGTTTGAATGTAATCTAAGAAATGAAGCACTACTTCAACTTTTTCAATTCATTGTTATTCTACAGGCTAAATGCATGACTGGTCTGTCAGCTTAAGGATATGCTGTTACACTGAGTGTTCTGCTTTAGTCTTCTAAGTACCCCTACTTAGACTGTGATTCAGCTGGTGTTAAAGGCACAAACGTGAACATCATGTGCTGCTGCTTTTGTAGTGCTGATTTACAGGGATTTTTTAAGACTCATGCTGTGACTAAGCATTAATGCTTAGCAAGTGTGATTATTTGACTAATTTCTCTTTTAAAGATTTGGTCACAAGCTAAAAATGTCATCAGGAATGTCTTGGCTGACTCTGATCCTTTGAGTCACCATGTCTGTTCACCTGCATGAAGGAGCACTTTTTTTTTTTTTTTTGCTTCCATTGTGCATTTCAAGTCAGTCAACAGAAGCCCATAAATCAAGACCGGTTCTAATCTTGCTTGCATTTTTTTCTGTCCACAGTAACCACAATAACGGTGTGAGCCCAAGTATAGAAAAAAAGGTATGACATTCTTAAAGATGTCTTGCAAGTATACTTTTTATTACATTTCAGATTAAATCTAATGTTGTTAAATTGTTTGGTTTAATCTTACAAAAGAATGTCAGGTTATATTTTACTTGTAAGTAAACTTATCATTTGAAGAAAATATGCTTTGCTAAAATTATATATTAAATTGTATATTAATAATTATTACAGTTAATAATAATAATAATAGTACCAAATAAAGATATTAGGACAATTTCTTGAAGAATGAATTGACACTGAGGGCTGGGGTAATAGTAGTTAAAAATGTAATTTTATTACAGGTAAACTCATTTAAAATATTGTGTATAATATTTTAGATTATAATAATAATATAATATAATATAAAAATATGTATTAAATTGGAAAACGGTTAATGAATTGTAAATTGTATTTATAAAATATTCATATTTACAATATATGAATGCCAAAATATGTTAAAATTGTGTTATATTATTATAAATGTATGAATATAATTTTACAAAATCATATAATTTATGGCAAAGCATTTTGCTTTATTTTTTATCTAATAAATGCCTTATTGACTAGTTTTTGATACTTTTTTAAAAATAAACTCTGCGTCCCCGGTACCGGGTCTATAACGTCTTTTACTTCAGCATTTTTTTATTTTAAAGGTAGGTACTGGCCCAATACCCCTATAAGTGGTTCAGTTTTCTCATCAGTTGGAATAGAATAACTTTTGCATAGATTATGAGAGACATTTTTTTTTTCCTATGATTACTGACATGTGCAGGAACCACCAAAATTAATTACAGCAACTTAGATCACACAGAACCTAAAAGGTACATTTTCAAATAAAAGTTTACAAAACTTGGAGGGGTTGATTAGAATACAGACAACATATACAGATTTTTTAATCACTTTCAACAGTGTTCTAAAAATTCAAAGGGTTTTCTTTAAAAGGATACCAAACTTTTGCATTTACACCTCTGCATGTGGATTTGGGGAGCTTTTAAATTTGGGTAGGCAAAATCTGGGCGGAAAGCCCAAAATAGCATTTAACTTTAAGAGGTTAAATATTCTACCAACATCACAATAATATAAATAAATGTTAAATAGGCCAACCAACTAAACCAATTTGACTTAAACATCATCAATTTAATTTTCACAATGAATCAGCAAGTTTAGGCTTCACATCTCTAATCAGTTTAATCCTTTTTATGATTCATTTTGCATGTTTGCTTGCCAAGGCTTTTTTTTTTTTTTTGGTACCTAAATGGATCCCACATGCATGTTTCCTTAGCCCACCCATACACGTCCTCCCTGGTCCGGTATGCCTGTGGTCAGCAGTCCGCCCTCTGCGCCAGGCCCCATGGAGATTGAAACGCTTCCGAGGAGCCCCGGTGGCAGCCAATCGGACAAGAGGAGGTGAGCTTCTCACAATTTTAATGCAATAAGACCTCTAAGCAGGTTAATCTGATCCCCTGCTGTTACTCCAGGCCCCCACGCAGCCAGTTGACATGACATTGGCTGAATGTGACGCTTGTATAAATGCTATATTTGCGCTGTTTTGCTGTTGCTGATGTGTCGGTGAGCTGGTGCTGACCAGTGACTGGTGCTTAAGGTGCTTCATGCTGTTTTGCTTTGACGTAGAGCAGATGGCCGCTTCAGCACAGGAGAAAATGCCTGCTGCGCTGACAACAACAAACTCTCTCCCGTCTTTCTTTTCTACTTCTTTCTCCTGAGGCTGTCTTTGGGGTTATTGCGCTGTGCGGAGCTTTGCCTTTAAACTTGAAATATTGAAAAGAAATTAAATGAGAGACCCGTGGGGATTATCGTGTGAGTGTTGGGGATGTTTTTCTGACTTATGAAAATGTTGATCCTCGTTTTTTAACGTTCTAAACTTTAAACTTTGTTCTAGTCTGATGTTCTGAAACCCCAGTGGCCTTTTCATAAGGCAAGGTATGTACACTCTTGTTTTTAAGCCCTTGCTTCAACCAATCAGTGCATTTCTGAGGGAGTCCTCATGATTGGCTTTTGGAGCGGTTGTTGTTTTTTGTTTTCCTTTGGCTGGGCAAATCAGCATCTCCATCAGTTCTGCTATCGCTTGATTCTAGTCCAAACCAAACAACCTAATCAGTAGGGCAGACCTGTGATCTCAGCTGGGTCGGTAGAGGTGCGGTGTAACAGCAAGCTGAAGCAGTGGGCTTGGTTCATTTATATTTACATATTTTCCCTGTCCTTTCCTTTGTCAAACTTGAAACTAATGCAGGTGATTTCACTGCTGTGCCTTTGCTTGGCAAATTCAAGATGGAATCAACAGGCAGATGGACAAACCTCTGGTGTCCATTTTTTACTTTTGTTCTTTTATGATTCGACTCTTCTTCTTTTGTATGAATCCTCCTCACTAACCAAACACAATTTTCCTTTATGATTCTTGCTTAAGGTCCTGGTATTAGGGCTGGGCGATATTGCAAAAAATTATTACCATATGTTTCATATCATTTAATATCAATAATTATCCAATATTTTTGAACAATACATTTAGAAATATTAGAATTTCGTATTTATTTAAGCACTTTATTTATAATTTATCAACATTACTAAGGTAAATAGTTTTTGACAAAAATATTTAAACAAAACATCTGATCTCTTCACAACAATATAAACAAGTGTTAAAGAGGCTCCTAAATTTAATAATAAAACGTTACAAAGTGCGTGCAATGGTAAAGCGTAAATACTGAACAGTCAAAGCAAACTTTAAGGTGTGAATAATAATGACACAGTAAACCTCAAATTCGGTCAACAAAACAAATTATGATAATCACATCTGAGCTTTCAAGTAAAGGAACCAACCATCATTATTCAAATAATAGTAGCAACATTACAAATTGTGAAGTTCAATGACTATATTACCCCTATGCTAAATTTTTTTTTTAGTTGGGGAGCTAGTGGCTGGGATGCACATGAAAAGAAACCAAAAAGCCTCTCTGGCGACATCCTTAAATCCCTTTTTATTTACAATCGCTTCACTGCTGCAAGCCACCGCACGCATTTTCACATTTGTTGTTATTGTGACCTGAAGTGACAAGCGTGCACATGGATTCCTTGACCATTTACAATAGACTTTGCGCTCGTGCTCCCCTGGCGACTCTCGTAAAGGTGACCATCAAGCGTTTTCTCAGAGGATGACAAACAGAGAAACCATTGCTGCAGCTCTGATACAAGTTTGTGAAGAAAAGGAAAAAGCGCTGGAGTGTTTGGATGCGCTGTGTTGTGTGAGGTAATTACTCTGCTGTTACTGAAATGTTTATATTCGTACAAAGTGTGAAGCAGATTGGTTAGTTCTACTTGCATGAATTGCAGTGCCCTAAAGGTTTTCAACTAGGTACAGCTGGAAAATGCGCACTGTTCACGTCTCACCGCTTGCACAACATTTGCGTGTCACTCCCATATGCATGTCGTGCAAGTTGTGCACTGTCACCCTAAACTTATTGGAATTGCTTCCAAGGTGTCACAGCAGCCACGTTTTAATAAAACTATAGCGCTTCATACTGAAACTACATACCAAATCTTTTTTTTAATTGATATTGACAATGGTGTTCAGTCAATAAATATCAATACCTATTTTATCACCCAGTCCTACCAGGTATACTACTTTTTTCACATTCTAGTCTCTCTTGTGCACAGCACACTGTTGGTTGAGTGCAGATGGATGGGTTGGATGCATGTGCAGTACGTTCCGTTTCATCATTTAACTTGTGTCTTCATCTGCTCAGACTAAACAATAAATAAATTTAGCTTTGCATGTATGTCCAGCCGCACTTCTGATGATGAAAATTTCATAATAAGCAAATTGTGCTAACCGAGTATACTTTGTGCTTTAAACTATTTAATAAAGTGAAAAACTTTTTGCTTGATGATTTTGCTTATTCAAATATTTTGAATTGATTTAAGTTAAATCTGTTTCACAATCTGCTCCCCTGTGACACTGCTTTCTCACTGACATCCTCCCATCATTTTCCTATTTATATTGCCACATTTTTCATGCAATGTCATTTCAAAATATATTGAAATGAGTAATATATGAATTTATTACTACTAATAATAGAATAGTCATTTAAAAAAATTATCGAAATTAAAATGATTAATTTAATTTATCAAAATAGCATAAATCAAACATCATTAAAGTAATTATTAATAGCATTAATATATATTTCCGAATATTTTTTCATAGGGCTGGGCGATATGGTAAGAATGCTATCTCGATAATTATTTTCTATACTGAAAAATAATTGTATATATTTCAATAGCAGTTCTTAATGCTTCCACTTTTTTAAAAAAATATCCCAACCATGACTGAAGTCAGATACTGCTGGTGGGAAAGTGAAATGAGCATGCTAAACAATACTTGGTAAAGCGGCATGACCTATTTTTGGCCAATAAGCTTCGAAAACCAAAAATTTGACGAATAACTAATATCAACACAATTATAGATTCCTGTTGTTGCATATTTTTGCTGTGTGAGTGGACATACTTGTTCAATATTGATCCTAAGAGCCAGAGTTCATCATCGTTATTGACAATTTTTTTTACGATTCAATATGATATCGTTTATTGGCCCAGCCCTACTTTTTCATATGGAGTAACTTATGAACAGTATATTGTAACAAATTACTTATTGTGCATTTAGTGTGTATAACTGAACATGCTAAACGGAATTAAAATGCTAATTTAAAATAATTAAAAACAAAATGATTTGCAAATCTGACATTTCAGGTATTTGTTGTTGAAAACAGTTAGGATAGGAGATCTTAGATCCTCTAAAGATGCAAATGACCTTTTTTATCTCAGAAAATATACATAAAGAAAATATATATAAAGTCTTCATATGTCTTAAATCTCAAAATCTGAATATTAGGCCTTAAAGCGTCTTAAATTTGCAAAAATATTATATTGTAGGTCTTAAATCTTTTTTTTTAAATGGATCTTAATTGTCCTTTGTTGATGTTTTGTTACCCAATCTGGCCAAAACCCATTCAATCACCAACAATCTCAATAAAACTTAAAAAGGTAATTTTTAACTCTATCATAATTGTTTTATTATTTTTCTTACAATAACATTTATTTAAAAGTTTTCCATGTCCATTTACTGCTGAGGACACCAACTTCAACAGATTAAAGTCCATAGATTAAAGGCTCGTACACACCTGGACGCTTTTCATTTGCGTTTATCGTCAGTGTTTTTCAAGACGTTTTTCTGGATTCAAACCCAAGTGATTTTTCACTGGCATCGAGCAGAAGAGTATGCATAATCACTCCTTGATGTTAGATAGTGCTAAACAACTTTAAGCCTCTGACTCCAGCTTGTAACAGAAGAAGAAGAAGACAAAGTTGACATGCTTGTTGTTTTAAATGGTTTAAGCTGCCGCTCCAGATCAAGGGATAAAGAAATGATTATTGTTCACCAGAGCTATAGTATAATAATATTAAGCAGCTCCATGTTCATATCGCCTCTGGACATCTTCTTAAATGTGCGCTCTCATTGACAGTTTTGCACTTGAGCGCCTTCAAGTGCTGTTTACTGTAACTTCAGCAGCTCCATGCACGTGAATAAAAGTGCTAATCTGATTGGTGGAGAAGGTTTTGACGTGGCGCGTCAAAACAAAAAAAAAAAACGAGCATGAGGCGTTTCTTTAAAAAATGACACTTTTGCGCCTGCCGCTTTGCGCGTTGGTGTGCACTGTCACATTGACGCCCTTTATTTAGTCACGAAGTGTTAAATGTTGACGGAAAACGTGAGCAAAAACATCTCGATGTGCATGGGCCTTTAGTTGATTTTAGTTTTTAAAACATTTGTTCATTTCTGACAACAGTCATTTCTGTTGGGAAAAAAATGTATGGATAAAAGTAGAGCTTGTTTGGTTTTACTCAATATTTAAAATATTTTGCTAAGAAATATTTAAAATATTTAAATTTTTTAATTTTTTATTTATTATTGTACTATTAAAATTTTTTGATGGGACAAATAAAAAATCTGTTCCATCTGGGCCATTTGAAAAATTCCTTAGCCTTTAGCCCTTTGAGTCTAAAATTTCATTCATAATGGTCTTAAAGTCTTAAATTTAACTTGTTAAAATGTGCAGAAACCTTGATATACACACTTTTGTAGTATAGAGTTTTGCTTCATCTGTCCTCTCTGGCAGTAAGCTAGTGAGAAGTCGTCATGTAACTTTTGTGATACTTTAGTTATAGGCTATTATTCAATTATGTAACTGGAATTTGACCATTTAATAGCATCACAATTTAATTTTTTTTTTTCTCTGATCCACCTGCTGTCAAATTAAAAATTAATGTATTCAAATGTACTATAATCAAACAGGCTGTAGATGGGAAATGGTTGATCTATCAAACTGTATTTAGTTTGCAGAACTCATAACATTCAGTAAAGTATTAAAAATATACTTTATTTTTTTAACAAGTGAATCTTGAATCACGCTTCCCTACTAATGCATTTCTCTATAAACATTATCAATCTTAAATCATCTTTATTCTCCAATGAATCCTCTGGCTTCGCTCCTTCAGTTTTGACGTTTTTCTTTTGACTTGTGTTCTGCACATTGTTGCCTACACTTTTCTGACTTGGACACATCAGACTCTACAGTTTTCTGTCGCCTCATGTTAACACTCCCCCTCCTCCTCCACTGACCCATCCAGGCTTCACTCCCCCACTCAATCCCGCCACTGACACCAGAGTGACCGTCAGGCACCTCCTCTCAGACACGGACCGCCACATTCCTCAGACAAAAACTGAGTGCCAAGGAACGCCTGGATGAAAGATATCTACCGAAACTACCTTGGCGAAAGTCCTTTCTTCATTTTCTGCACAGAAAGTGTCCTCTCTTAGACTGAAACCAGCCAGAGGGATGAGATAACCTTCATGGGAGGAGCCTGAATAACTTGCTGTGGCTGTGGTTGCAATAAGACAGACTCATTACTCAACCAGCTTTTCCACCCAGTAAATTTTGTTTTAGATATTTATTTGTTGTTGAGTTTCTGCCTTAATTCTCATAACCACATTTGATTGTTTGGAACTTTATTAAAAAGTTAACAGCTGCTTTTTACAAATGTGTTCTACATACTCTTATAATCATTTCAGCGAAAGAAACTTTTAATGTTGGACAAAATGATGTTTGTCCATTTCAAGAAGTACTCCGGTTTTTTTATTCACTTTTAAAGACATGCACTGTAAAACCCAACGGTCAACTTTATCAAATTAAATAAGTGTGGTGACACAAAATTGACTGAAATTTAATTCTACTTATTTGAAAAGAGTTTTGATCTCATAACTCATGGTTAATTGCAATCAGTTTCCTCAAGCGGTTAGAGTTGATTTAACTTATTGAGCTTTACAGTACTTAGTTGGTTTGAGTTCTCTTCATTTATTGGGTTTTACTGTGCTCAAATGGCTTTGTTTAATCAAATGGATTAAGTGTGCAGTATTCATTAGGAATAGTTTTTGAACTTAAATAGTTTGCTGCAATGGGTTACCTCAAATGGTTTGAATTACCTTAACGTTTTGGGTTTTACAGTGTACTTCGGGATTTTAGTGACATTGGATGCCATTTACTTTTCTCTTGCTTATTAAGTTAAACATAAACTTTCAATGTATTTCATAAACTAAAAAGAAATGGAACAGTGTCTATTTGTAATATTTATAGTAATAGAAAGTAATGATTTTTGATTATTTGAATGATCTGAAATAATGATTTTAAACATGCACACATTCACTTTTAATTGCATGCCTGTTATGTTGAAACCCAAAAGGTTTTGTCTTGTCACAATCGGTTAGGATTGTATGACCTTCGTAAATTATACCATATTTTCACTTCAAACAGATGAAAGCTTAGATCAAGGGTGTCCAAACTCTGTCCTGGAGGGTCGGTGTCCTGCACAGTTTAGCTCCAACTTTCTTTAGCACACCTGCCTGGAAGTTTCTAGTATACCTAGAAAGAGCTTGATAAGCTGGAACAGGTATGTTTAATTGGGGTTGGAACTAAAATATGCAGGACACCAGCCTTCCAGGAACGAGTTTGGACAACCCTTAGATAAATGGTTTGCATTTTTAATATGTTAAAATCACAATATTGGTTTTCAAGACGTCTGTAACGTTTCAGAGATTTGAGGAATTGGTTGAGATTGAGATGCTGAACATACTGGTAATTCTGCTCTGACAGTGATGGTAAAATCAACAGCTCAAATTGAACCCTGTGAAGTTCCAAAAGGTTATGAAACTGTTTTTTTTTTCTCCTTTAAATAGAATGTTATGTCATTTCAGCAATTTGGGCAAAGACTCTAAAATACACAAGACATTTAACTCATAGTTTTGAATGGGGAAAAGTTTAATGTTCAATATGGTAAATAAAGCCCTGCCTTCTAATACAGGAGCCATTCATCCATCACTGTAGACTGAAGACTCTCCGGGTGAGGGGCTTGTACCAGACGTGAGTTTCTGCAGATTTTGTGTGATCTGAACATTTAGAAATTAAGCTTGGCAAGCAATTTTGGAGAATTTGATGTTTCCCCATTCAAACAGAATGCCCAAGAGGCGTTTTAAAGATGACCGCCGAGAGAAATGACTTGCCTTAAGGGACTTTGATTAGAGATATACTGTAGGTTCAGTCGCTAAAGACCCCAGCGTATAATGATTATTAGTGATCATTTATGCATTTATAGGTTAATTTCATTTGGGCTTGGTTGTTTTAAAGCCAAAGTTTTTGATGTGTCTAAATGCAGTTTATAATATTCATTTGCTTTTTGTTGATTTTAACAATAAAAGTCCAATATTTTTAAGAAAATACAATATCATTTAAATATACAGTTACTGTATCATAAAATGAAACGCCTTTTTTCACGCAAACTGAAATGTTTCCTGTAAATTACATTTATTTTTCTTCTTATGAGCATTTCATTTGTCTGTTTAAAACAAAAGTTGTAGAAAGTGCTGTTAAAGGTCTATAATTAATTTTCATATATCTATAATCAGAAATATCTTTTACTAGTTGACAATGCATAGTGCAATGTACACTGTTTTTATATTGCATTTCACACATTCATAACCAAAGGACAGCTGTATCTTACAAGCTTTAAGACATTTGATTAAAATCTGTCATTTCAGTTTCTCTTAAGGTCTTTTGTGTCAGTACTTAAGTGTTGCATTTCTCTAAATGACAAACTCTGCCATGTCTCAAACTGGGAAGATTTCTAATGCAGTGCCATTAATAACTTGGTCATAGCTTTGCCTTTGAGCTTGATTTGAGCTTTAATCTCATTCCAGTCATTTATGGAATGTGACGTTCCCTCCCTTTTTTCACTTAGGAAGAAAATTGCTATATTGCTTTTTGTGATTCCAGTACAGACATTACTGATATGCGTGTGTGAGTGTATGTCTGCATGCAGCGTGTGTGTGTGTGGGGTCTTTTAATCTAGATCTAGTGGAATGTGCGTGTGGTCAGTTGGCATGACTCTCTTAGATAACCAGTCCATTATTTTTGTGTGAGAGCTGCTTTTTCAGTAATGAGTATCTCAAATGTGAGTTAAAATCATTTGATTATAGCATTAGAAGAAATCTTTCTCACCCAACACGAACAACCATCGAGTATGCAATTTTTTTAAATTGTTCTCAGTTTTTTTTTTTTTTTTTTTATTTATTTATTGAAATGTCTTTTTTTTGCACTGACTTTGGTCATGAAACTGTACAATTGCATTGCAAAGCTGAAACTTGAGTCTTGCCCCAGCCTCAAGGATTTTTGTGGAGGTGAGTCACATTTGCCATAATTATGATTGTGGACACTGTATGGGCACCACAAACGAGGTTACATCTCGTAACTGACAGATGGTAATTAACCCTTTTGTCTTTCACAGCATGCCCATTGTGACTGACCTCTTGGAGACATGTGTAGACGAGGTTCTTCAGGCCACTGTTCCCATGGCGACAGTAGAGGAAGCGGGACCAGTTGCTGCTCATACCAGCGCCAGCAGCGTCACCGAGGAGACCTTATCGCTTACCGGCGAGTTTATAATAACTCATTTCTAATAACTGATTTATTTTATCTTTGCCATGATAACAGTAAATAATATTTGACTAAATCTTAATCAAGACACTTCTATACAGCTTAAAGTGACATTTACTAGGTTAATTAGGTTAACTAGGCAGGATAGGGTAATTAGACAAGTTATTGTACAATGATGGTTTGTTCTGTAGACTATCTAAAACTATGGTTAAATACTATGGTTTTTAAAAAAGGTAAAAACAGATTTTTTTCTACCGAAATAAAACAAATAAGTCTTTCTCCAGAAGAAAAAAGTATATAGACATACTGTGAAAATTTCCTTGCTCTGTTAAACATGTTTTGGGAAATATAAAAAAAAAATTCAAAGGGGGCTAACAATTCTGACTTCAACTCTATTAAAAGTTGATTAACCAATGTAGAGAAATTTAGGGCCTTTAGTATACTATTATATATGCAATTTTGCAAGGTATTAAATTTTATATCATTTTTGATAATGCAATGTATGGTTGTATGCTAAAGTTTGCCTGAATTAAATCTGCGAATATCAGGATGCTATGTAGTTTATGAAATCAATAAAATACTGCTAGATTTGACATCATCACCAAGGCAACACCGTTATTTCTGCTGTTTTTTGGGCGCCAACCTGATGAATTATCTAGATTTAATAGATTTTCATTCAGTATATGAATGATGTTTTAGTTTTAAATTTATATCAATAATATTTTGTAAATATACTGTAAGTTAAAATCTCTTCAGTGTTTCTGGTTAAAACCTAAAGTGGTTATAAATATACGGAAAGAGTCTTACAAAAAGGTCTTAAAGTATTGAATTTTCACTCTGATTCCTCTATATACTTTGTAAATGTAAGCAGAATGTTTGCAGTCATTTTCTTAATATCAGTTTAAAACTACTCATGCAAACCTAATTCTAACTGGTTTGCACTAAGTCAGATTTTGTTCATTCTGTGCAACACTGCATGAAGTTGAACACTAATATCTTTCAATATTCATTCATTCATTCATTTTCCTTCGACTTAGTCCCTTTATTCTTCAGGGTTCGTCTCAGCGGAGTAAACACCAACTTATCCAGCAAATGTTTTACACAGCTGATGCCCTTCCAGCTGCAACCCATCACTGGGAAACACCTATACACACTCGTTCACACACATACACTACAGACAATTTAGTTCACCCAATTCACTTATAGCGCATGTCTGTGGGAAGCACTTGGAGGAAACCCATACGAACACAGGGAGAACAAACTCCAGCAGAAATGCCAACTGACCCAACCAGGACTCGACCCAGTGACCTTTTTGCTGTGAGGGGACAGTGCTAAACACTGAGCCACCATGAAAGGAGTCTTAAAAACATACATGAAAGCTTATTGCTGCTTCGAGAAATATTCCTTTTTCAAATTGCCGTACTGCAAGACTGCAGTTATTGTTTGTTTTTTAAGTTAGACCAGTTCAGATTGTAGAACACTAAATAAAATCATTTCAGAATTTAAAAAAAATCAGCACATTAAAATCTGAAGGATCATATGAGACTGAAGTAATGACCGCTTCTCATTTACCAGCTAGCCTTTTGATATCTTATATGAACTGTATTACTTCTTGCTGTCACACTTTTGTCACACTTTGCCTGTTCATTGTGTAAAGAAATTACCCTTGCATTAAGGTTTTAAACCTTACACATGCAGATGTTTCCATCTCTCTGTATGACTGACCTCTCATTGTTTAGTGAAGCTCACTGAATCAGTTCTTATCCACAGAGGCTGCAGCTCGACTCAAGCAACTAGAGATTGAAAACACTCCAGTGTCTGTTCCAGCCAGAACCAATGTCAACCTCAACATGAACAACCAGGTCAGAGCAGCCATCCAGAAGCCCCTTGCACACACTGAAAACAAAGCTTTTTGTAAATGGTGTTTTTCCAATATGTTTCCTCATCTCGTATGACTCCATAGCATATAATTAAAGCTCCACATAGTCTTTAAATACAAGAACCAGAGACTCTCTTGGCCACACTAACCTCAGGATGTATATTACATTAAATAGTGAATAGGGAAGATGATTACTCATGCTATTACTGCAGTCAGTGATCTCTATATGCTTTTCAGCTCAGTGTCATTTAAGGTTTATTCAGCCTGGTCTATATAATTTAAATCCTTCTTCTGTCACTAAATTTATCCCTATAAGTAATCTGATAATTAAAATTGCATAGTGAAACTTTGTGGAAAATCAAATCCATCTTAAAATGGCTTGAATGTTACTGTAAACTAGGATACAATTTTGTTTGCTTAGTAAAAGTTAACTGTAAATGCTATATACAGTAAAGGCAAATTGAGGTCTTGGTTTAATGGCTATTGCTATGTCAATTTCATAGAGAGATTTATCTAATGCCAAATTATTTATTGGCTAAAATTATCCAGGGAACTCTTTCTGAACAGATTATGTGACTTATCTGTTCTACACAATCAAAGACTGTCTTTTATTTTCATAATTAGTTTTTTTAGGATTTTTCCCCCTTTATTTGATAGGAAGTAGAGAGGGAGACAGTAATGACTTGGCAAAGAACCTCGAGCTAACAATCAAATTATAAATAACAATCATGCTATATGTCAGCACACTGACATCTTTCTGCATTTTTTTTTTAAATTACTTTATTTTAAGGTTTATATTTACATGTATACACACACAGAGAACAAGAACAAACATTGGTTCATACTGTAGATATACAAAGACAATATAAAGGAAAAGAAAAGAGACAACAACAACAAATTGCATCATAGTCACAAAACGTACAATCAGAACTAGAGAGGGTATATAACTATATATATATATACTCAGAGGGGTCACTGGATTGTTCTTGAGATATAGATTTGTAAAATATATCAAACAATTGACCACAAGTAGCTAAAAATTAAGAAGCTTGTCCTTAAAAATCTGACTCTCCATCTGAATAACAGATATCATGTCGGAAATCCTTTACTGCAGATTTTAAAAGAAAAAGCTAGTGGTAGTTGTCGTAGACTACATTTTGGTTTAAGCATGATAAAACAAGGTAGATGTAGACAAAGTTAAAGCTACATTTTCAAAACAAAGGTCATAAATGCACAGTGCAGACAGATTCATCCTCAGAAAACATTTACTGTTTTTTTTTTTTGTTTTTTTTTTTGGCTTGGTTGTTTTTTTTTTTAATTATAGCAGTTTTGCTCTAATTTAAATTTTTCCTTCAGCTCTTATACTTTTAAATTAAACTCATTTGTTGTTGAGTGAAAGAAACTTGAATGTGTTCAAAATGTTTGTGTTTAGGGCCAACTGTAGCTTATTGTACATTATGTATTATTGAAATTCTCAAATGAGACTGAATTAGTGTTTCTCAAATAAAACCCCACTGCACCTTAATTGTTTTCTTTAATTGGCTTTAACTTGCTCTGGCTTATTTTCAGGAAAACACAGACATTGTGTGCAATTGTGTGCAGGATGATGTGGTGAAACTGACAGAGAAAAGTTTGAACAGTGTGAGCAGCAGTCCTGTCCTGAATCAGCTCAAAGCTCCTGACGAACTCAAGAGCAACATCCTGAAAGCTCAGGCAGAGGCAGCACTTAAGGTATTGACATGCTATTAACACTCATAAGCACTTGAACATTCAGCTTTTCATTTTTTTTAAGGGGATCTCACATTTTATTAGTTCTCTACATGATATACTGCGTGAGTATTGGTACTGTATATGTAAATGACATGTAAACTGGTGATTTATGAATCTAAATGTGTGTAAATGTTCATCTCTTTGTTCAGGATTCAAGAGATGAGCTTGGACTGACTCCAGACAAGAACTGTAACCTGCAGGAAGCAGCAGCCAGGTATAAACACTGTTGTACGTCTGCCTGAATTAAAGACCCAAGCCAGAGATGCATTTAGTTTTTAATAATCTTTATTCTAATTACACCTTCCAACTTGTGATCTTATTTCTGCTTCTTCTTTACTGTACTTCAAGTTGTATGTCAAGTTGGGATCCATTATTTTATAACTGAACTGTTTTGTCTTCTACTTTACAATCAAATCTCTACTTTTTAAGTAACACTATCATTATAAATTGCAATATTGCAGTTGAAAGGTTAGGTAAGGTTTAGTCACTATTTTGATATATTGTAACATGCACAAGCATTTGTCTTTTTAAGGCCAATTCACAGCTGTAACAGATGCCACATTTGTGTCCAATAACACATTGTATCGGCATGTTACCATTGTCTGATTAGTTGGTGTTAGTCGGTGGTCATTTCTGTTGATTGTAGATGTTCATTGGCATTTACCAGACTCTTGTCTGCATTGATTGGCTTCTGTCAGTTCACTAAAGGGTTGTCTGGTTTGTATAACAAAACCTGCCTAACTGCTGATCAAATGACCTGAAAGTGATCCAGCCAGGGGGTAATCTAAAATATTATTCGTTTTCCTTCAGTTGAACCCAATGGACTAAAATCCTTGCCAACAGTGTAAAATCTATAGACTTGGCAACATGGGTGCAGTGTGAATTGACATGATGGTTGTTGAAATGTATTCTTTTTAATAATGAAAATGAATAAATGATGGATGTGTCTGTGTCTTCATCAGATTAACCGGTCGTGGGGGCCGTATGGGAAGCACAACCTCTCTGCCAGTGAGTGGGAGAGCGGAGCGGCAGGAGTCCTGGGACATGCTCAAACAGCCCGGCCTGCTGCCATGCTCTACCAGCAGGTGAGACAGCACACAAAACCTTGGCAAAGTACAGTGAGAAAATTGTACTACTAAGAAGCCTTGCTTTGTTGTTTGAGTGTGTGGATTAAGACGTAGTAGGCCCATGTGAGGGAGCCTGCGGGTCTGTAATCCTCCTGGGACACAGTCAGAGGCAGTGGAGCACAAGAAGGCAGGCAGAATCTGGGGCACACCCAGATTAAATGGGCCACCTGGTCCTCCATCAAGCCGGGGCTTGTTTTATTTCTTTTGTATATGATCATACACTACTATTCAAAATATTAGGGTAAGGAAATAATACTTTTGTTCTGTAAGGACACATTAAATAGACAAGACTTATTTCCCTTTTACATTTACATTTAGTCATTTAGCAGTGGCTTTTATCGAAAGCAACTTGCAAATAAGGACAAGGAAGCAATTTACACAATATAAACGATATTATTGTCATTTTAAGACTATTTTATGCCACTCGTTATATAATGCCAGAATGACAATATAAAAGCATCACAATGCAAGGACTCTCTTCCAAAGAACACAAATTATTTTATTCTTAAAAATATTTGATTTATAGTCATTTTAGCAATTCAATTAGACTGTGAAAACGTGTATCATAAATAAATAATAATTATAATAAATAGATGTTAACAAAAAAGTGCTATAAAATACTATAATGTTAACCATACTGGCACTATCCAATATAGAGAGGTTGCGCGATCACCAAAAATGATTGTTCATTGCCATGTGTTGTGCGATAAGTCAATATATTGGCCTATAAATTTATAGCTGAGTTCATGGACACTCAAATTACATTTAGAAAACAAGTTTTTACATATTTCAGACCAATTTGTATCTTCAATTTCGTGACCTAAATCTTTTGAAGGAGAAGTACGTGAGTTTGACAGAGCTTTGTATATTTGTACAATGGGGAAAAATGTAAACTGATATAATCTTTCAATATTATTATATAATTTATTGCCCTAATTTATTGAATTTTTATGTTAATGCATATGTTCTGCGGCACCTCCTTGCTGTCTGTGGAGCCTTTAACTTCCACAAATTCCATGTTAGTTTTCCTGCTCTTCTCTCTAATTTCTGTTGTTGTCCCACTATTATAGACTACTTTAGTAATAGTTTTGGGTATTTCACTAGTTTAAGTGAGACTATTAGTATAATTGTTGGATGAGACGATGCACTATGATGCCATTCCATCAGTCACCAGAATGGGAAGCCTCCTTATTGTACTTCTATGGTACGGTCTGGTACGATACGGTTCAGTATGCTTTTATGGCCGTTTCCACTGTCAAAAGTTGTACCGAACCGTACCGTCCCACTTTTTCAACATCCTTTTGAAAGGGTACCAAACATGAGAAAGGGTACCAAAAGTTGGGGCTACACGCACAGCTGAATGCTGATTGGTGACAGAGGTACGTCACAAGCTCGTGTGGAGCTAGCCATAATGAAAACAAAGGAACCGCCATGTTTTATATACGGAGCCAAGACATTACACTGTAATACTATATGCATATAATAACAAGCAATGGATGACCCAAGCTCAAACAAAACTTGTCGTTGTCTTGATGCACAGGCACAAAGCCAAGAAGAACAAAATCTGCTGTGTCCTGTTGTTGTTCTACAAGGCCGCCGAAAAGTGCGAGCTGTTTTGGCTTTCTTCAGGAAGCTTGCGATTGCGTCTATATTTGATATAACGAACTTTTGAAGTCAATGATAATAACGTGTGTGTGATTAAAGGACAAGCGCGAGAGTGAAACGCAAACAAACAAAGGAGAAGCCCGACAAAACACAGGAGCAAATTGTTTCAGCAACCTGAATCACGAACAAACTGCCATGTTTATCATCGCCTTTTGGATTATTATGAACTCGGAATGACAGAATTACTCCCTAAGATGGTGGTGAAGATTACAGATATAGATAAGAGGTTTGCACTGACTGTGGTCTATGTTGTGTGTAGTTTTTGAAAGTAAAGTACTAAATGTATGCTTTGTGTTGTTTTTCTGTAAGTGGTAACATATCAGAGACTGTAAGAGTCTGTATGTGTTCATGTTGCATTTATACATTTATTATTTTATATAATTGCAGACGTTACAGTAGGATATTTCACACTGTCATGGATCTGCATATGATATATGAACGACCTGTACATCTTTACTATAGATATTTATTCGAGCGAGAATGACGTCGACTAAAACTTTCTCACACCACGCCCACCCTTGGTAGTGGAAACGCAAGCCTGATAAAGGTGACCCGTACCGTACCATACTGTACCAGTCAGTGGAAAAGGGCCATAAATCAAATAAATGCAGCCTGGGTGAGCATAAAAGGCTTCAAAAATATTTTTAATTAGCATATTAGCTAGGTATGCTCATTATAACCGATTAACCGTTTACTAAAAGGGTGCGTTTTTAACCGATTAATGGTATCAGTTAAATGATTAAAAAATGTTATATATATTTGAAAGTTTTGCCTGCATAAGGGGCTGATCACAACGAACACGCCTTTTTGGGTTGAGAAGGGCATTTTTAAAATGGTTTATTAACGACCGCGAGCCGCATTTTTGCCATTGCTCACTGTGTGCTCGCAGTTGAAAAAAGTAAACTCTGTGTGGAAATAGCGTGTTATAGCAGTCGTGTCTTTTTTTATTTCTCAGTCAAATAAAAACAGAGATGGGGTATGCGTTGATTAAATGCATATTTTCTGTGAAGCGATCAATTTGAGGTAGCCTGCAATTTTTTTTTTTTTTTACGGAAGAAAAAAACATGATTGGACAAACAGCATATGTGAGTTCTTTTAAAGGACTCAGTGTTCTCATTTTGTAATCTGAACTTGTCATGTAAGTGAGAAATATCTAGGGCAGGACTATTTATGTGTATTATTTTAATTTAGTTTATTCTGTTTTTCTATGCTCTTGGAAACACTGTTGTTAATATGTTCTGTATACTTTTGTTTAAATATTAAAGGAAATCAGTATTTTAAAATGCAATATTTAATGTGTCAGACACAAAATAGACACGTCAATTTTCTTTTTATTAAATGATAATTTATTATTAATCTGACCAGTTAACCATTAATATTCGGTTAACGAGCGATGGTTTGTAGGTTCGCAAAATTAACCAAAATTATCAACCTTAGTATTAGTTAATATTACTATTAACTATTTACCTGCAGTAATAAAAATATAGACTTTTTAATACACAGTTTTTTTTTCTTTCTTTAATAATTTGTTTTAACTTGCATCATTTTATGTGATGATCATAGTTTCTTCTTGCTACCTTGTATCAAACCTAGAACATTCCATTTATGTAGCCCTGTTGTAGTTAGCTGTTGCCACCTAGTGGCAACTCTCTATATGTAGTTGCCATACCATTAGTCACAGCTGAGATCTGCTTGGAAACATGCTCTTATGTAACCACATGTACTCATTTCACAGATTGACTGCACAATTAGCTTTGGTCAATGACTTGGAGCCATTCAGCTTCACTGCCACATGATAATATAAAGACATGTGAAATGTTTCTCCTAATGTGGAAGTCTTTCCAGCACCATTGCGTATTATCAGCTGCAGCTTTTATTTACACTCAGATCTCTGTACAGTTAAATAAATGTCATGTAACTAATTGTTAAAATTATCTGCAATATGAAAATGGTTATTATAGTAATGAACCTGAGTTTGTTCAAATTCGCTACCAGTGCCTACATCGTATGCTTAATTTGTAGACACCACAATTATGGGTTTGATTCCTAGGGAACAAGCATGCTGGCAGAAGCGTCTGCCAAATCTAGAAATAATTGGTACCTTTACAATGGCATACACTTTGTCAACACTCTCTGGAAGGCTCTGTTCTTTTGGGGAGCCATCCAAATCTACCCACATGCACGCACACACACACACACACACACACACACACACACACACACACACACACACACACACACACACAAACCCATAATCAACAGTAATTGCAAAGTGACCCTGAGTCTTTTCCTCAAACACTTCATAAAAGGTGTTCATAAGGTTTCATTCAAGGGTGAACATTGTGATTTTCTGCGTGTCTTTTGAATGACAACTAAATGAATAACTGCTTTGAAATGCTCAGTTTTTTTACATGCTCATCTTAAGCACTCAAATTAAACTTTTTTGTTCAGAACTCTTTGCAAGAATAAAGCACATACATGCTAGGACGGCACAATATATTGTTTCAGCATTGATACATTGTGATCATTCACAATAGTCACATCAAATAACATATTCAATGTTTAGTTTGTTTTAGTCATTTGCATGTGTTTTTGACTCTGTGATTATAAAAACATTCAGGTATAAGAAAATGTACCATTTGTGACCTTAGCTACAATTATTTTATTGAATAGTTTTTATTTTTATCATTTAGTTACTGTCCCTGAATACTGTTAGACTCGGGAAATGACAAACACTTTATTTCAGTTGTATCTTTTCCTGATTGTGTTTATAGATTAAGCATGGAACATGGAACACATGCAAATAGAGAAACACACTTCAAATAGCACAGAAAACAACGAAAATGTGTTGGGGGACCACAAACATCATATAGATTGTTTATTAGATATTATGGAGATGCACTCCCACTGCAGAATCATCCCAATTGATCGATAAATTCTTTCCAAATAGATATATTAGCTCCTTTCACACATACAGACCTTTTTGGAAAATTACCTGCAATTTTCTGGAAAGGTCTTTGTGTGAACAGGCCTTTTTGGAAAATACCGGTAAATTAGTTCCCGCGCTTTTCTGGAAAGAGAAGTTGTAACATTATCGGTAATTTGCCGGAATGCTGCGCTGTGTGAACACAGAAGTAAGATTGCCGGAAAGAGCATGTTCAGGCTTAGAAAATGCTGACATGAGACCAATCAGAACATTCAGACGCATTCAAATTCGCACTGTTTATGAAAATAAAACCCTTTAAATATTTTTAAAGACACATTTAGCTGCTAGATGTTGGTCAGATATTGTTACTATGTTAATTCTTCATGACAACTGTGTAAAATATAATCAATAAAATGCTTATGATAAGCCGTTGTTTGTTTACCTTCAAGCTCTGTTTGCTTCCTTCAGTTGCTTGACAAGTGTGCATGTGAAGCAGCCGGTGAGCGCCGGCACAAACAAATTATGTACATCTTGACATGCGAAAGTGTTTCTCCATATGTTTTCATCGAAGTGGTTCACAATGCTTATCCATCCACAGAGTTTGTAAAGTAGTCAAATGTTTACAAATACAAGCGCAGCTGTTTAGAGGTCTTTTCTGGTTAAGGATGTCAGAATTTACCGGTATTTCGGAATGGATGCGTCAATGCTCTTTTCCGGAAAACTTTCGACACATCCTTGCCTGTGTGAACAACGCTTTTTTGGAATTTACCGGTAAAGTCGTTCCGGAAGTTTTTCAGATATTTACCGGTATCACTGTGTGAAAGGGGCTATTAAGACATCTGGTTAAATTGTATTCATCTCACAATATATATTGCAAAATAAAGAAATATCACAATTTTAAGTTTTTCATACTTACAGTATATTGTCTTGAAACCAACCAACATTTGTTTAGTACAGCATTTATGCAGCATGTTCAAGATTGACTCGCAAAGAAAGTGTATTTGTTCATGAATTAGCTGAAACTCTCCATTGTGTGTTCTCAGCCTGAAAGAGAACACTGATGAATTCATCATCAATTCACAGAAAATATATTTCACTCTTTCTTTTCTTGCCAACTGTACTATGTTTGCTTGTTTGGCTAAATGCAGTGTAGTTTCTTCTCTAACTGAAAACCGCATTTTCACGATTGACTCATAGCGCATTTGTTCACACAACTCTTCATTGTCTGTCCTCAGCCTGGAAGAGAAGGCCGATGACTTCATCTCTTCAGTGCCGCCTCTATCATCAGATCCAGTGAATGAAGCTCACTCATCCAAGGTAACAGAAGTGGCTTAATGTTATTCCAGCTGCTGGCACGCAGTAGAGAGAGTCCACAGCAGCTGTCAGGACACACACACCATCATTAACTTACTGACACACGCTCTAACAGTAAACTGAGTCCAGCGAAAAGCTGCACTTATTCTCTTCGGCTTTCTTACAGTTTTTTGAAGTTTTGCCATTTACTCACTGCTTCATGCTAAATTCTGTGGGGATGATGTGCTGTTTTCGGCTATATTGAAAGTTAGCCTCACTTTTGTTCCAAAAAGCTTCTTTTTCATTAGTTTTATTTATTGCAGAACATGAGCTTTCTGAGCACTTAAAGTGTGTGAACCTCACACAAATCATGATAATCACAATTATTATGTGTTCATCCGTTCATTCATTCATTCTTTCATTTTCTTTTCGGCTTAGTCCCTTTATTAATCTGGGGTCGCCACAGTGGAATGAACCGCCAATTTATCCAGCACATGTTTTATGCAGCAGATTCCTTTCCAGCTGCAACCCATCACTGGAAAACATCCATAAACACTCATCCACACACATACACTGTTCAATTTAGCTTACCCACTTCAACTATACTTATAGCATGTCTTTGGACTGTGGCGGCGACCGGAGCACCCGGAGGAAACCCACATGAACACGGAGAACATGCAAACTCCACACAGAAATGCCAACTGACCCAGCCGGGGCTCTAACCTATGACTTTCTTGCTGTGAGGCAATTATGCTACCCACTGCACCATTGTGCTGCCTATTATTAATTATCTTGAAACCTAATTCAAAGAAAGGAACCAACTATGCTGCTGTCACATGACTCCACGTCACCAATAACAACACTAAACTGAACACTAGATTGAACACCAGATTGTGACTCTATCGATCTTCAGCTAAAGTCAAAAAGTTTGAATGTTTGAACTATAATAGTTTGGTAGGTCATGAGTAAAAACACAACTAAGTTTAAACATTCTTTTAGTTTAAGAGCTCTTCCACTGTGTCTTGATGTTTATGTCGTCCTAAGTAGGCAACGCATATAAAAGATTAAAATTCACAAGGATCACTAATATATTCAGTTTCAAAAAATGAAAACGCATATAGCTTATTTTAACAATATTTAACCAAATGCAATTTTAAGTGAAATATCAAATGACGAAGCTATCACACATTATATATATATATATATATATATATATATATATATATATATATATATATATATATATATATATAATGTAGAGAATTAGTAAACATTTACGCTGGGTTCATACCAAATGTGAATTTAAGTTTGCGCAAGTAGATTATAGGCATAGTTAATGCAGACACTAAAACATCATTTGCACCACCTTGCAAAAATAACCTCTTTTTCAAAGCGTGATGTTTGCTGTGAACGTGCAGAATTCACCTCTATCACATCTTCTGCGCAAGTTCAAAAAATTCAACTCGAGCTGAAAATTTGCATGTGGTGAAAAAATCCCACAAGATAACTCACTGAAGCTAAGCAGGGCTGAGTCTGGTCAGTACCTGGATGTGCAACCACATGGAAAAACTAGGTTGCTGTTGGAAGTGGTGTTAAAGAGGCCAGCAGGGGGCCCTCAACCTGCACCCATTGTCCTGTGGCTGTCATTGCATTATTCAAGTGAATGCTGCACACTGATGGTGGTGTGGAGAGACCCCCCTCATGATTGTGAAGCACTTTGGGTGTATTACCATACACGATAAATGCGCTATATAAATACACACATTACATTATATTACATTACGTTACACAATCAATTTAGAACGAGTGATGATTTGTTTATATTCAGCTACACTCTAAACATTTTTTTTCACATAATTCATTCATGTTGTCCCAACACAAATCCATTAATTTAACGTAACTAAGTAGATTGAACATAAGATAATTAGTACACAATAAAAAATCTCCAAAATTGTGTTGTTTTCAGTTTGCACAAGTAACAATTTTTTTTTTTTTTTGAGTGTATATTGAGTATCTTTGTCATTCTAATACTTTATAAAAACAATTTTAGTGATGCTTTGCAAGCACTGGCATTTCCTTGTAAATAAAGACATTACATGAGCTTTTTATGAGCATACCCTTTAGAGCTTTTGGCTTTTTGCAATGCAGGTGAAAGTTGAAGATCCCGAGCCGCTGACAGCCCCTCTGACTGATAACCTGATAGACTTCACAGACCCCCTTCCTGTAGTAAGTTCAGTAATGCAGCTCAAATGACTGAAGACTCAAACAATGTGCTTGAAATGCTTTTAGTAAGATAAAGATTATGGTTTCACTGTATATTCTAAAAACAATAGTGTTTTTTGGGTTAATAATTTTTGGAAACTTGTAATGTGATTTAATTCGACACAGGTGCCACCACCTAAACCCACAATTACTCCACGATGGATCATTCCAGCTTCAGCACCTACAGTGAGTTTACTAAAATGTTACTTTTTTTTCTAGCATTGCATGAAGTTAAGTCTGATATATAATATATAATCGGGAGGATACTATGATTTGTTTTTTTAGTAATGTTTAATAGAACTTGATACTAACTGTAGCTATCAAAACTTTTAACTGTTACTTTTACCCTGATGAGAACTCCTCCAGATACTACAGAATACATTTTTTTAAATCTAAAATAAAATTATCTTAAAATTTAGAATTTTCTTTACACTGACAATAACAAACTTGCAAAGTCAGAATTGCCCATAAACTCACAATTTAGGGAATTAAAGTTGGTGAGATTTATACTTGGAGTTGGCAAAAATGTATTGTAGTTCATAGAAGAACAGAATTTTGAAAAATTAACTATCAGAGCCACAATTAATGCAATTAGAGTTGCAATTCTAAAAAGTATAACTTTATAAAAGTATATACTTTGTTCGTAAGGTCTGGACTAGGGCTGCACAGTATATTGTTTCAACCTCGATATCACAATGTTCGCATCTGCAATAGTAACATTGCAAAGATATGCAATGTTGAGTCTGAATTATACTTAAGCAGGAGCTACAGAATTGTATTTAATAATTGTATTTATACAAAAGTTTTATGATCTATGCAAAAAAAAAAAAAAAAGTTTTTCTTACTTTGAAACTTTAGTCTAAATATCTACATTTCAAAGCGAAAACAATATTATTTCACTTCCCCTGCTGGCAGACAATGTTGCTTGTTTTAAGGAAAAACTCTTACTAGACTTATTTCTTCTGTTGGTGAAAACAAAACACAGTTTTTACTTGTTGTAAGAATTTTTATTTGGACTAAAAATTAGTCAAAACAAAGTAATGAAAGCATTTTTTGCATTGTGATTTTTTTATTTTTTATTTATTTTTTGTTTCTGCACCCAAATACTGTTAGACTCCCCAGAAAATCATCAAATAGTGCTAATCTTGTGGAACTTTTCATTTCGCAATATTTATCGCATAAAAAGCAAAAATCGCAAGTATCAGATTTTTCCAATATTGTGCAGCTCTAGTCTGAACTTGCAGTTGAGCAGACTTTCCTAATTCTTGAAAAAAATTAAGAAACAAAAATTATTAAAATTCAATGTTAAATGATAAATTAAATTGATTAGAATTTGATTAGTGACATATTGGATAAACCTAGACTTGTTTTTACAATTGCGGGGTGTAAAAATGACAATTGCAAAAAATGAAATACACATAAAACTGGTGTCCATGAATCCTTATTGAACAATGCCTGTGTTTCTTTACACAGATGCTCTATGTAGATTTATACATTTAGCTTTTCATATTGCAGCTAATAATTATAACTTCCAAGCCACGCATTCAATAGAGTGTACGATTTCACTATCCTTTCTTCTTCTCCCATTTGTAGCAGTTGATGTAGTGACTGACTATCCCCCTGCTTCCTCTCTCTCTTTCTCTCCTCTAGCAGTCTGGCACCTTTACTAACGGCCTCCTCGACTGTCCCACAAAGGTGTCATCTCACCATCCTGAGGGCTCTGTTTCCCCTCTTCCTCAGCTCTCTCAAACTCACAATGTCATTGCCACCAGGTTTGTTTCATCCCTGCTACCCTTTTCTGCTCTCTTGAGAACAATTGTTGCTTTTCAGTCACTCTGATTAACTGTTTTTAGCTTGGTGGTCAATAAAACCTAGAGGAGTCATGCTTTATTACACTATTATCTGGGTGCATCTGTTTCAGCCGTTCAAAAGTAGAAGTCTATGAAAAAAAAATGTTTTTCTTTTAAAGGTTTGGAGAAGTTGCATTGCTTTTTTAAATTGTCCTTGTTACTGCACATGTTACATGTACTTACTATATTAACCCTTTAACTGCCCCACCAATATTTTTTTTCTGGATATGTCACTAGTTAACACAATCGATGCATTTTTTTAACACATGCCATAATTTCTAAAATATCAACCTCCCCCAAATAGTTGATACGTATGTGGGTTTATGATAAAAGTATTGAAATTAATATATAAACTATGAAAATCTGAAAATATGTAGTGTAAGATAATTTTTTTTAAAAACATAATCAAAATGAAATCAAAAACACAATATATTGCCATGTGATCATTCATTGTAAATGTCACATCACACAATATGCATTATTGAGTGAGTCTATATATTATTATATTCTGTATTATAAGTTATCATTTTCATGTGTATTTGAGGCTGATGACTGTAAAATGATTTTAAAAGCATTCACGTCTAAATAATTGTACCGTTTGTAACTTTAATAATGATTCATTTTATTGAATTATTTTTATTATTCTATTTCTATACCTTAATACTGTTAGATTTGAAAAACTATTATACATTGTGTATTTCAGTTGTATTGCTCTATGCTTGTAGATGGTTTATTATATTTTATTCTGATACACTTCTCTATAGAATCATCTCAACCAATCTTATCGCAACATAATTTTTCCCAGTTCTGTATAAACTCAAGTTTTACTAAAAATCAGACTCTTGGAAGAGCGTAGCCGGTAATTAACTGAAGACAAATCATTTTAATTGACTGATGTTACCTTGGTATTACATTACAAAGTTATCAGTGCACATATATATATATATATATATATATATATATATATATATATATATATATATATATATATATATATATATTTATATATATTAGGGTTATAACGGTATGAATTTTTTACGGTATGATAATCGTCTAAAACAATACCACGGTTTGACGGTTTCGCGATATACGGTATTAAATAGTAATTCTCATAGCAAAGACCCTGAAAAGAATAAGAACACGTTTTCTGACTGAACAAAGGTTTTATTTCAACAAACTTTTGAAAGAACCATTTTAATAGAACTATAGAAGTCTTTTATAAAAATAAACTGAAAAATCTCCCATTTTAATGAATTAAATTAGAAGGAATAAACAAGCAAGGTCTTTTAAGATTAGACAAAAATAAACTTAAACTGTCCTTCCTTATAAGCAGGATAAATGGGAGACCAAAAGTGCAATACCAAGTTTATGGCTGTAAACATGTATTTAAAGCGTTGTTTTTTTCAGTCTAGGTTGTGATTAAGAAATGTAAGCATGTTGAGATTTTCAGGACTTAATCTTGACCGCTCAGGTGAGAGAATGTGTCCACTTGTACAATGAACAAATAAAAAAATAATAAATAGTGTGTCAAAGTCCAAATAAACATGGTGCAAATCCTCAGTAAAAAATAGAGATAAATATTTACTATACTATAAATAGTTACATAACGAAACTAGATTCAATATGGAACATCCTTAGGTTTTATGTGCCAGCATGGATATGGTTGTCTGTGGATATGGATTTGGATGTGGTTGTATGCAATGCAGACAAACAGCTGCACCTTCATTTGTGTCTTTTGAAAACAGCAAGAGCAGCAGTTCGTCTTTGCTGTGTCACTGTTTTGTCATGTTTCTGTGCTGCTGTGCATGTAAAAGTACTTAGTATGAGAATTATTTCATGCAAAACTTTTTTTTTTTTTGCGTTTTATTTAGCCGCGCAGAAATGTATGCCTATCTCTCATTCCGTGTTGTTCAAAAAGCTCAGTGTTGGTCCACAAACAAAAGTGAAACCTATGCTTATTGGTTGTGATATAGCGAGTTTGAACCAATCTGGGCATGGAGGAGGGACAATGCATCAATGTATCATGTCTGGTTTGTCCAGAGACACAGTGACGAGCGTTTCTTTGTCAAATCAGCATTGTCAAATTTTGATGACGTAACCGCACTGATTCCGGAGCCTCTGAAAGTCCGCGAATGTATGTGATACAGCACTGGAAAGCTGAGATTCTCTTCTTTGTGCAATCTTTGAATTGTAGGAATCGGATCAGCGGATCAAAAGTTATTAAACATTTAAGAGCAATACTTCTTTTTAGCCGCGGGCGGCTGTCTCGGTCTGTAAGGGTTAAAACCGTTGATATGCAATTGTTCATGGTATGATAATCGTGCACATTCAAATCGTGGTAAACCGTCATACCGGTATATTGTTACAACCCTAATATATATATATATATATATATATATATATATATATATATATATATATATATATATATATATATATATTTAATTTTTTTATGCTGTTACTGTCCTCACTTCCTCACTTCAGACAGTAAAAAGCATTCATTACATTCAGGAACACTAGTTTTGTACATGCATGTTGTTAATTAAATGTTTTTAATGCTTTAATGTACAGTAGCATACACTGAAAAAATTATTCATGGGATTTAATAAATTGTTTTATGTTAAGTGGTTGCAAACAATTTAAATGGGCTGAATTTAAACAAACGAATAAATTTAGTCATGTTCAACTTGATTTGTTTAAATTCAGCTTGTATAAATTATTTGCAACAATTTGCAATGACACATTTTTTTTCAGTGTAGCATACTATAACTTTAAAATTTCTTTAAAATGTAATCTGCATTTACTAGTTAATAAACAATTTGATTGATTCTTTGACAGCATTGTGGCTCACTCGACCAAGGACAACAACCACAAGCCCAAAGGTCTACTGACCACTGAACTCTGAAAGCGATGCCTCAAGCACATGCCCAGCACCTGTACCTTGGACCATCAAAACATTTCTTTTGAGCACGACATTCCAGTCAAACACATTCCAGTGCCCTTGCAGTGCAGGAACAGACAACTGTGCTGGGCTAACATAGAGAACAGATGGCATCCACGAGCCCAGATCTCACCACAAATAAGAGAACTTGAAGGGCTAGCAGCACGTTCTCAGTGTTTGACGACCACCTTTCCTTTTATAACTCTTATACCTCTTTTGATTGACTCTATACAGCTCTTTGTTGTAGCAGCAGCAGCAGCAGCACATAGATGACCCGCTCCTGTTGTGAATGGATGTTTGATCATCTAGAATGTTTGATCTACTTGCTGTCCACTTCTTGTTCAGATCTTCTGATTGGACGACTGAGCGCATCACTGACTGTTTTTCTTCATGCAGAAGTTCTATTTTTATCTTTGCCTTTCTTTTATGTTCTTATGAATAATAGCAGCATTCCTTATTGCGCTTTAAGTACTACTCTTAACTGCACAGTTGTTAGAGCACTGTTAGCACTGGCCAACATGCAGTCGTCAAGTCGCTGAGCCAAGATCTGCTGTTTGGATCTTTTATCAATGCTGTTTTTATCCAAACACTGTAGTTATGACCTGCCTTATTTTAATAGTTCATATAATATTTTTTTTAATGTACATGACATGAACTCATTGCAGCATAATGTCATTTGTCATCTGTTTAACTGACATATTTCACTGAGTATTCAGTGTAGTGTGTAATAGCAGCTTTAAAAGGGTCGATTAACCCAGAAATGAAAAGGTTCATTATTTTTTTCAGCTTCAAGTTGTTCCAAAGCTGAGTTTCCTGTTTAATATTAAATATATTCTGAATAATGTGGGTAACCAAATCCCTCTTAATGCTGGTTTTCCCATTTTTGTCCCTACTATAAAAAGCAAAATGGGGATCAAAAACTGACCTGAAAGAAACTCTTATACGTTTGGAACCATTTGAAGTAAATGATGACAGAATTTTTTTAAAGATGCTGAATTTGATTTTTTAGAAGATACAGGAGCAGCTGAGACGTCTCTGACTTGTGCAGTATTAAACTGGACAACGTAACCAGCTAAAATGTTTTAGGTGTGATACTAGAGGCCTTTCATTAACCCTTTCTTTTCCTCCTGTGTAAACTCCATAAGCAATTGCTGCTATTTTTCAGTACACTGAAAACTGCATTCTCGCTATAAATCACTGGATCTGAAATCACTGGAATCAAATATTTAAAGGTCAGTTATCAACTTTTTATACAAGCAGTTTTTGTGCGAGAAATTGTAAGTTAAACTTCTGAAAAGGTGTTTATATGATATTCATGCTCTGATTATTGGAAATGCTCAATCACAGAAAGCTGTTATAGCAGGAATATATGTATATGCTAATCACGTTTGTTCTCTGCGTCTCAGTGTAGGCTTATTTACATATTATATTAATGATCTGTAGATGTCAGCAGTGATCTGTTTATTTCGATACGCTGAAAAGTGTTATACACTGTAAGCCTTGTCATTTTGTATGATGTGAGACGTTCTTTGAGTAAAGGGAATTTTAACATGGTTATTGACTAGTGCTTTTGTGTGTACAGTTTGGAGTATTCTGAAAAATTTCCACTCACACTATTTCTTCAAGGAAATAATTGTTTCATTTAATCTTAAACTTTGCTGATTGATAGGCATAGTAATGTAAAGGTATACTGTAAAACCCAACAGTTAACTTAATCAAACGAAATGAGTGTAGTTAACTCAAATTTACTGAAAGTTAATTCTACTCATTTTAAAAGAGTTTTGAACTGTTGAAGGTAATGAGTTAATTAAATACCTCATTACGTCTACTTAAATAGAGTAAGTTTATGCAAGGTACTTCTATATAGATTAGTTTTTTAAAACTTAAATGGTTTGTTTCAATCAGTTTCCTTAAACAGTTTGAGTTGGCATAATTTGGGTTTTACAGTACTCAGTTGGTTTAAGTTCTCTTCATTTATTGGGTTTTACTGTGCTCAAATTGCTTTGTTTACTCAAATGGACTAAGTTCAAAGTACTCATTAAGATTAGTTTTTAAACTTAAATGGTTTGTTGCTATCAGTTTTCTCAAATGGTTTGTTACCTTAACTTTTTGGGTTTTACTGTGTATTGAGTTATATTGAACTTTTATACCAATCATTTTTAAACCGTATTAGTGTAATAAGTGTGGTCAGGCAGAAAAAAAAATTGATGCACATTTATACAACAAGCAACAGCAAATTGTGCACAAAATAATCATGAAAATTGAGTGTCAAGGATTGTAGAAGCCAACTATTAATGCTCCCTGAACATAAACGTGATGCTGTCATTTCCTTTAACCCAGAGGTGCCACTTACTCAGGTAAAACTAAAAATTATTCAAGTCTTTATGAGTGAATGTATTTATCATTGGGTAATTGTGGTTGTTCGTTTCCCCTCACAGGGAGGATGAAATGTCCAGTGTGGCAGCAGGTGGAGCCAGAGAGCTTCACCAGTCGGATAGGATCACGCTCGGGTCCTCAGGCTTGTATACAAAATTGGAAGCTCACATAGTGGCAAACACACAGGGTAATATTTCCCACCATAAAGTAGGAAATTTATTTGACAACAGTAGTATTTGTAAAAAAACTACAGTATCAAAAAAAAAATCTAGTAAATTACTATTTAAAGCAGGGGGGCCAAAACCAAATATAATTGGGCTATAAAGTTACTATTGCTAATTTATTTCATAATTTTTAAAAAATATAATTTTTTTCTTAAAATCCTAGTAGCTAAAGCAGTATAATTTGATTAAAATGGAAAATACAGTCACATTTTTTATAGCACAGTGGAGTTCAATGCTGAGTACACTAGTCAAGCAATATCAGCTTTTGTTCCCATTTGCTCACTGATTTCTCTGCATTGTGCCCAATCCATCGGGTGACAGTATGTGCATTTAAAAAAAATCTAATTCATTCAACTGAAACATGTAATTTCCATTTGTTTTTTGGGGGGCTTAGCAACAAAACAAACAAACAAAAAGTTAGATTAAGTAGAAATGACAGTCTATAAACCATGCTCATCATTCTCATTCTCTTGTCAGATGGGATGGTGGGCCAAATTAAAGGTTACCATGGCCCTATTTTGAACATTTTTGGATTAAAGGATTTGTATAACATTTCTAAAGGACATATTTTGTTGTTGTTATTGCTAGTCACTGAATTAAAAACTTGATTAAGACCCTTAAGCAGGTCGCACACCATAAGCGCCGCTCGGCGCCGCGACACGGCGCGTACATGACAGTTTAAAGTATCACACACCAGACGCGCACATTCGAATGATATTTAACATGAAACTAATCAGATGGCGCTCTGTGGCGCGGCTGAAAAATGAACTGCGTCCTGAGCCGTCGCCGGGCGCCGCCGACAGCCGCCGACTTGCGGCGCCGGTGTGTGTATCCTGATAGAAACCTATGTTTAGAATTCTAAAATACATGGCGCTGCGTGGCGCTTCTGGTGTGCGACCTGCTTTAGGACGCAGTTCATTTTTCAGCCGCGCCACAGAGCGCCATCTGATTAGTTTCATGTTAAATATCATTCGAATGTGCGCGTCTGGTGTGCGATACTTTAATCTGTCATGTACGCGCCGTGTCGCGGCGCCGAGTGGCGCTTCTGGTGTGCGACCTGCTTTAGATGAATAGTTTTCACCCATTGATGGATAAATGGTTTAATTACAATTCATTATGAATATTGGAACAATTACACACATTAAAGTATTCCAACTGCTTTTAGATTACTTTTGGCCTAACTCATTTATTTAATAGATTTGAATGGAATTATTATTGGGTACTGTATTTTCTTGTCGTGCTTGAATTGAGTATTAGGTTGAACTATTTCAATAATTTTATCATGTAGTTAAAAAGGCAACTGATTATGAACTTTTTTTGATGCACAATCGAACTAAAATATGTATTTTTCTAGGTCTGATTATACGCTTAAGATTACATATAAGCATATAACCCAATCCTACGTAACCTAATTTTTGACTTCTGTGTAAAATATCAACAACTCATAATAAACCTACCAAATATGTATTAGAACCACAGGGTTAACTTAGAAACGTTTTGTCACAAATCTTAAATTTGTAATTTTTTATAAATTTATTGTGCAATGCTAAAGCCCCACTAAGAAAATTCCATTCGTTTTTCTGCTACTTAATTCTAGCAGCACTGCTGCTGATGCTTTAATGATCAGACCAACTAATCATTTTGGCAAATGCACCTGTAATTCAGATTATGACCACAGATGGCGTATCATCTCACGTTTACTGGGGCTGGTTTCCTAAATTACGAATTTACATTTGGACATAAAAATTTGCACCAGTAAGCTACACAGAAAGTTTCGAGTCGAATTTCTTTTGTGTTATTTATTTATTAATAGCATTGGGTGTATTCACTATTTATAAATTGCAAATGAAGAAGACGGGAGTAAAATTGGAAGAAACAAAATGAACACTAAAACCTTGCATGATATTGGGGCTGCAAATGTTTCCTTTTCATTAACCGCAGAGTGAATCGTAGTGGTTTCCTCACTTCTGCAATCAATTAGTTTGATGTTTATTATTAGCTAGCATAAGTTGATGAGCAGTGAGGGAGGCGCTTCTCGTATAATGTTCCCACAAGCGCAGCTCGCATCTTTCAGTAGACGCGCCGCCACCGCGCGCCCGACCAACCACGAGAACTACTGAGCGCGCGCTCCAGCTGACCCGAGACCCGCTTCAGACAGGTGCTCGTTTGGGCTTATTTTGACGCTAAAGCAGTACTTTATGAAACACAGGGCATGCTGGCTGAGTGGAATAGAGGATTTCTTCCTTCCTTCAACGTCTTCAGTGCAGAACCAGCGCTGAATGAAACTGTATGAACAATTAGCTGACAGACGCTCAGATGTGTCTAGCTGTGAAGGAATAGCGACGATTAACCGACCAACAAAAAAAACTTGTGTTTGACATTGACGCGTCATGGCATCAGTGTCGTGGAGACACGCGCTTTTCGTCTTGGTAGCTGGTAAGTTAAACTGGTTTGTCCTGTTTGTTGCCTGCATTCCTGCCTATTATGCATGTTATTAAATTCCATGAAGGCTAGAAAATACAAAAAAAAAGTAGAAAAAGCTGAAACAAATGAGAAAGTATTATGTAGTTTGAAGGACTAGCGCTAGTCACTGTGGATATTCCTCAGCAAATGTTAACACAATTAAGCAAATATTGACTGTTTTTTATTTATTTTATTTATTTATTGTTCAACCGTAAATAACATTGAACTTTGTTGTAGTTGTCATTTTAACACTTAACTAAACGCTTAACTAAACGATTAAACTATAATAAAGCATGAGTTTGTATTTATAGAACCAAATATTTTGGAAAACGTTTTATTTAGTGCCTTATGAAAATTAACCATTGGTTTACTACGAATAAAACTAAAAATTAAAAATGTTAATTAAACTGTAGCTGCAGTGAAACTAATTATATATAATGTGGTTATGCCAAAAAACAGGTTAGCTACACACTAGTACTATAATAAAAATATGGCTTGGTTTCTTAAGCAGTTGGTTTTCAAATATATTTGTAGCATTATTAATTAACAGTATTTGCTGTAAGAATATTGTTTATTATGCTGATATTATATGTTGCACCATTGTTGTTCATTTATTTTTTACTGTTTAAATGTCTAAAAAACTAATTTTTATATAAATATATTTTGATTTTGGGTACTACGCACAGTTGTAAGCACTGAAAGTGTTGACAGAAAACATATAAAACTATGAATTAATTTGATCGCCACTGTAATGCTTTTTTGGTAAAAAAAAAACACAAATGCTCTGACCCCGGTATTTTTCACAATACACAGGGGTTGAAAATTTTGCATAAAGACATAAATTCATAAGTGACAAGCCCTCCCACGTATGGGTCAATTATCTAATTTTCTAATTAATAATGCATGGCAACCTCCTCCTGTTGGAAAGAATTCATTTCACACTTACCTTAACAAGCTGCCTGAGCTGTGCCGAGCATGACTAACAAGCAGCTCTCTGCTTTCCTTGATTTTCTGTCACCATTCAATTGGGACCGCTATATTACTCGCCAAAGCTTCATGCCATACTTTTGTGGAAGAATGTCTATTAAGAATTTCAATGCAACTGCAAGCGATTTGTTGACATGAACTGACCTGACAGTGAGAAATATGACATTTTCTTGTTTGTGACAGTAACAAACATCCGTTTGGGTGACAAAAAAGGAAACAGGGTGCTAATGGATTCACACAAGAGAAAGGCATTATGCTCACGCAACTGCAGAAAAAAAATGCAATCAGCCTGTAAAAATCTGTGACTCTTGGATAAACACTTCTGCTCCAGTTAAGCTCACTGCAGTGAGTGCGCTATAAAATATGTAGATTTAGCAGGGGAATCTTCTGACTTTGAAACTCTGAGGAAGTGAACTCAGGATGAGTGTCTGTTAACCATGGCCAGGTCTGAAATGAAGCGTGTTTTATGCTTTGCGAAAAGATGTGAACAAAAACTTTGATAT